CAATCTTCATAAAACAAAGAAAGAAATTAAATTCATTTAAAAATCTTTTAATAAATTTAAATGAAATCAATGAAATGATTATTAATTATTTTATTTAATTAATTATTAACTTTTAACTGCATCAAATAGAATATTATAAAAGTTAATAAAAAAATGTTTAACTTGTCATTTTAATGTTAAAATTTCCTGAACAAATTAATTAGAAACCACTTTAATTCATATTGTATTGAAAGAAAACAATATGAAAATATTTAGCCTAATTGCGAAGCTAGGCAGACATTGAACCTTTGAATCTTTTTGTCCTGTGGCTGCGCTGCAGCAAATGAGTCGGACAAATTAGCCCGCGACAAAGTGCTTTGCGTCAGTTGCAGCAGCCGACCGCAATCGATTTTCTTGCGGCCAGGCCTGCTGCACCGAGAGAGAGTGCAATTAGGCTGGCGTTTTGTCGCTGCTGCAAGTGGGAGTAATGCGCCTATCAAGTGGCCCCCCGGTCGGCGGCTTTAATTACGCGACGCCGCCGCCGTCGACGACGTAATTGGCCTGCTAGGGCGAATTTCGGCGCCTCCAAGAGTGAGACGATGATGCACATAAAAGTCTGCGAGGCGAAATTCCGCTCCGTTCTTTTTCTTATTAGCGAATCTGCTGCTGACAAGTTGAGTTTCCTGCTCGACACTAGCGGTGTTTAATGTTTAATACGCGTTGAAAGCTCTCTCAGAGACGTCCTAAATTTAATCTCATTACTCAAATTACGCGTGCGTCTTACGCCTAAAAGTTTTGCACGCAGGCAATTTTTCCGAGGGTCTAGATTTACGACTGTAAGAATCGCATCAGAGGTGGCTCGTGTAACTTTTTGTTGATAAAGTTTTAAGAAGTTTAAGGATGACAAAAATTAAACAAAATTCTCATAAAAATATCTTATTTTATAATTTCAAAATTTGATTAAAAATCATAGTTACGGGTAAAATAAGCGAGTTTTTGTGTGATAGAATCTTCAACTTTTTTTTTATAAAATTTATAATTTTAGCATTTCATTTAAGATTTTTTTATTTACAAAAAAAAATGAAATTTATTCATCCATTTTCCCCGTATCTGATGATTTCTGAGTAAGTTTTGTAGATTTACTGGGAAATTTTCAACTCTCCCGAGTAAATTTTACTATTTGCATAATTCACACACTGACAACCTTGACAGCAGCTATGCGAATGGAAAACAATAAAGTAGGTCGACAGAAATTTATTTATTCTGCAGCAATTTGCTTCCCTGGCGAATTCATCTTTCTTTCTCTGCTCTGCTATCGCGAGCAGACTTTTTCCAGGTGGCATTTCTAGCGGCGTCGGGTCGGCTGGCGCGTCAGACGCAATCGAGTCACGCCGCATTTGATCGGCGGCCAAATGCCAGCCGCTGCGGATAAAAAGCTGCGCTGCCATTTCGAGGCTGAAATGTCGACTCGTGCCAAGCTCTCGCGGCGGGCACACTTGAAATGCTAGTTTACCTGCTTAGACAATGCTCGCTGCTTCCACCTCATTACGGCACAAAAGAGTAGTACATGCGAACGCAACCCGTAGCACAACAAACAAAACATTTGAATAGCAAGCGAGCGAGCGAGCGAGTGAGCCAAACCTGCCTCCATTTACTCGCGGAATGTCAAGAGTTCGTTGCGGGTCGTGCTGAGCTGCGAGGAAATGGAAAAAAAGAAAAAAAAAAAAAAAAAAAAAAAGGACAATGACTCTGGGCCGTATGTTTTCCGCTTCCATGCACGTGAGCTTAGAAAATCCTGCAATATTGATATAAAAAATAGTCTCTTGCACCCAAGACTACAAACGTTCCACGTGAGCCTTTTAGCCAACCATATTTTTGCATATTTTTTTGCTGCTCTGATATTTTTTAAAAAAAATCTTAACTTCTAACAATTTATTAAATATTTATCCTATATTAACTGCATTAAAAAAGATTTTTAGTAAAATTTTATAACTTTTTACACACGTCAATTTTTATTTTTACTATGGTTAAGTTTCAAATGAAAATGTGGATATTTTGTACCAATTATATACAGTACCAATTATTAGAATTCTGCAAAAATTATTGTAAATTACTATTCTATTAAAAATTCTCTAAATAGTCCTTGAGTTAAAAAAAAAATCAAAATAATCCAGAAGGCAAAGATGGCTTAAAATTTTTTTTTTTTCGTGAAAGATTTTCGGAATAAATTTTTGTGCAAAACACAGAATAAAAAATCAAAATCAAAAATACTTTTTTGCCAGTCATGTACTTTTCGTATGATCTCTCTGGGATTTTTTTTATACAAATCCAGTCGTTTGCTGTTTAGAGGAAAATTTATTTTAACAGAGAAGATATGAAACAAACTGTGCAGCATAACTGGGAAACGTTGCCCATTAAAAGTTTCAGAGACAACCTTTGTCTCGTTCGTGTGTGAAACGAGCCCAAATCAGCAACGAATCGTTTGCTTTCAAGAGCAAAAAGACCCTCTCTGCCTCAATTTTTTAATTTGCCACCGCCCCTTATTTCTGTCCCTTTCAACCCGGTTCTTTCTTTTTTTGTCATTTATATAAGTCCTGTTTGAAAGAACTCGTCTCTTTTTGAAGTTTTTCTCCTTTTTTTCGCCGCACACAAGTCCCAGAATTAAAAGTTGCGGAAAGCAAAGTGTGTCATTATGAGAGTGTGTGTGTTTTGTGCTGAGCCTGCTAATTAGTTATCTGCCCGACCTTTTTGCAGCGAGCACCCTCGAATATATATCTGGCCACCCCATTTTTTGCGTGCTGAATCATAACCGGCGCCGCTTTTTTGCCTATCACGCGACCCAATCCGCTTAAATGGGCTTTTTTCGTATGCAAAAGAGCTGCCGCTTCTTGCGTGAATTTGCGCATTCACGTTTATTTTGGCATTGCGTCATATCAAAGTCCAAAGTAAAAAATATTTAATTCTAAATTTTTGTACCTCAATGCTTGAAATAATTCTAATTAAAAAAAAAATAAAGATGAGACCATTTTATCAATTTTTCAACTGTTTAGATTGTAAGTAATTAATTTTTTATTTTAATAATAAAATTATTAAAATAATTTTTTTAACAAACAAAATATAATCTTTGTCACGCATTACAAAATTATTTCTCATAGCAAAATTTGATTTAGAAAAAATGATTTGTCCCCCTATTGCTTTTCAATCTCTGCATAATTCTTATCACATAAATTTTATTTGCAATTAAATCCTTCATTGTATAAATCGACAGGGGAATTCGTTTGGGGAGAGAATTTCATGGCAATGACTGGCGGCCGCAATACGTACAATTCTGCTTTTGAAACGATATGTCAGCGGCCGACTTTTTATCATCAGTGGATTTGAGATAGGCCATTCAAATTCAGATAATCACGGCCATAAAATGCGCGCCAGTGTCTGTGTTAAAACAATGGACCGTGCATGCTCGTGACGCTTTTATTGTGCGCCACATAAAAATGGAGAGCACTCACCTATTATGTGCCGATATGGACGGGGAATCTCTCATTTGCATGCGGCCCCAAACAGAGCGGTGGGCGTGAAAAACGAACCAACAGATTTGAATAATTCCAACATAAATTATTAACCACAACTATTTGTCCCTTTTCGTTGGTAAGTGGATAAATAATCTGGATGGAATTGATTCGTTTTTCCATTGAAAGTGAGTGCAATTGACAGCAGTCAATTTCAGTAATGGAGGCAATTAAAAATCAGCCAAATTATTTATTACCTAGAAATAAATTTGAAAAATCTTGATTGCAAAGAGCTGTAAAAAATCTTAATTAAATGAAATATAAATTTAACAAGGTACATTTTTTTGGTGGAGGGAAAAATGACAATTCGAAGAATGCCCTGATATTTTCCCTCAAAAGTTCTCTCTTGAGGTTGGGTAGAAACTGGATATTGGCAAAATGCACACGATGGAGCACTTCCGAGGAAATATATTCCCAGACTAAAAGTAATGGATTTATCGCTATTACTCGTCCACGTTTGAATGGAAGCCACTAGCATGGATGCAATTGCACAAAAAGCCCATCATAACGCCAGTCCAGTCCATTACAACTTTTGAAGTGCATCACGGACTAAATTCTATAATTGAATGAAAGACTGTTTCCTATTCAATAATTGATATTTTCACCATTTTTGAAAGTATTTTCATGTAATTGATATTTTAATGGTGATTAAAAACAGACTGCGTAAGTTTTTATACTCTGCGGTGATTTCCATTTTTTACTTCAAGACAAAATGTGACTTTATTGCTATTTGTTGTTAATGCAATTTCCCGCCACCGAAACATCGCCTTGCGCCAATTCAATTATTAAAATGAAGCGCGCTCCACGCAGCTTCGTGCGCACCCCGTCTGGCAGAAAACGCGTGATAGTAATTCTCTTGGCGGACTGATTTGCAGTGGCAAATTGGATTTGTCGTATTGTGGCGCGCGAAATGTCACGCCGTGATGGCTGATGAGCCTCCTCTCGCATTAAACGCCTCCAGAGACTTGCGGAATTTGATTGCGATTGTGACACGACTGCTCATTTTGCCACCTGTTTTTGCGCTAATTTGAGATAGAGTACAAATTGCGGAATGACGAGACACGTGCAGTTTGGGCGACGGTTTGGAATTTGTGCGCTAATTGCAGCAAATGATGGCACGTTTGCGCTAACAAGCATTGTACAGTTTGCTAGCTATACCATAATCGCAATTTCTCCAAATAAATTTACTCTGAGCCTTTGTTTGAATCCTGAGTTTTACACTCACCAATTGAAAAAGTAAAAAATATTAAATATAAACTTTCTATTGTATTTGACAAGTTTTAGATAGAGATATTTATTTATTTTTAAAAATAATACATTTTTATTAAACACGGAAGAAAATATAATGTTTAAAATTTAAGTTATGTAATAAAATCAAAAAGCAAAATTTTCTTTTAAATTTAATATTATCAATTCACCATAACTACCAAATAACTCAATTCTAATTTGTTTCAGGCGGTTTGCAAGACGCGCCTCCTCCGCCGGCCCCAGCGCCGCACCGCAGCGACAAAAGCGGCTCCGAACCGGCCCCCGAGTCTGTCGAGGCGGCCATCAAGGACATCCGGCTGACCCTGCAGCGCACGAAGGCGTTGCCCCTGAGGTCGCCGCCCGTGCCTGACACCCCTGGCGACGAAACCACATGCGGCGGCAGCCCCATTTGGGTGCCCAGGTATGAACCGCCCTCGCCCCGGCCGCAAGTCCCTGTCCCGGCCAGCAACGGTCGAGCTTCGCCTCCGCTGCCGCGACGCCACCAGCAGCCCCAGCCGCCTCCACAGCCGCCCCCAGCCGCCCACCAACTCCTCACGCAACAACCAACAAGACAAATAAACGTCACGTCGCCTCCAATCGACCTTGAGAGCAGGAAATCCGGCGCCGGCCCTTCAAGCGATGATGCTGCTGATGAAGGTAAAAAATAAATTCTAATTTAATTTTAATTTACAATTTTTTTAATTCTTCGATTTTAAAAAGCAAATAATATATGTATTTCAAATAGAAAAACAATTAAACATTGAAAATATTTTTGGCATTTTTTGATAATTATATTTTTGAAAATATTGCAAATATTTAAATAACTTGTGAGCTAATTTGTGTTCTAATTAATTTGGATTCAACTAATTATACTTCAATCCACCACCCTTCCTAGTTTAATTGGGAACGAAGGTTAATCAAAATTTATATAATCATTATTCATTATTAATGAATAGCAAATTTGATTGAACTCTCCGTTGTAAATTGGTGTGGAATTAATCAAAGTTGATCATCTTGATCATCTCGCCTAAAAATCTATCAAGGTATCAGCCTCAGTGAACACGCATTCAATTACCCATCCAAACTTCCTCAATAACCGTCACTTCAGCAGAAATTCATTCAAGTTTCAAACTAGACACCTCTGTTGAAGAAACATCCCTTTCAGGCCATCTTAAGCGCAAAGTGGCTTATTTGAAATCAGCGTTTGTAATTTCGATTCATCCTACTTAGAGTTGGCATGAGTGGCTTTTCACCCAACGACGCCAGTCCATTAAGTTGCGATTCAATTTGTCTGAATGCAATTACTGATCAAATCCGAATCATTTGCATCTGCCGGTGGATTATTTCGGAAAACAGTACTTTTCACGTGTGCACATATCAATTTGGTGTGTGCGGAAAATACATATTCTGATTGAGTGTTTTGTGCCGGATCTGATTGCCGGAGAGCTGACAATTAGCTCGTGCCGACAACCAATCAATCATCTCTTTTGTCGGGCTTCCAACGAGCACCACATCTCCCCCTGACGCACCCAAATTGCTTTTGCTTTATCGCATTTCGTTCTCATTTGAATTTTTCGCTGCGTCGATCGATCCTGTTTGCACTGTCGACGCCTCCCTGTTACTCAAAATCTTTTGAAACAAGCTAGTTTTGCTCGTCAGGCAGAAGATTGATCCATCTTTTTTTTTTAATCTCATCAAAATTTGGCGGATAAAGTAAGAGAATCCAATATAATTAAGGTATATTGGAGTGATGGGTCATTTGACGATCAAATTTTGTGATATTTTTCATTTGATTTTTTTTGTTCATTTGTTTACATTGTTTACATTCAATTACTGTTTAGAAAAATCAATTTTTCAGAAAAAAGTCACTTTCCCAAGCAAAAAAAGTTTTGCTAAAACTTATGAGTTAAAAAGAACATATAATCCGCCGCAGAGAGCCTCAATTGACATAAAACATTAATTTCAACATTGTTTCTAATATAATTTTATTTTTATAGAAAATGTTTCATTCAAGATATTAACGGATGATTTAAAAAAAAGCATCTACAAATATTATATATTTTTTTTAGGTTTGTCTGAAAAATTTCATGTTATAAAAGTTTTTGATGATCCAGTCTGAGTAATTTAGTATATTTATTTTGGTATAATTATTTTTTATTAATTTGGACGGATTTTGTTTTAGAAGAGCTGGACACAGATTTGGAGACGGATCGCCTGCTCGGCCAGCAGCGCACTGATGACCAGGGCTTCTTCGACGACAAGGTATGTGATCTCTGGCCAAGGGCAAAAACTACTTTCAGCCTCTTGGGTCCCGAGGGCACTTTGTTTCGTCGGACCGATCTTTTATTGCGTTTGATAAATGGCAGGGAAAATAGAGGTTCGAGCAAGGAGACAAAAAGCGCGTGGCCATTTTTTATTTTCATTCCAGAGCCGCACTTTTTACAAAGAGGCTCTTATTTGTTTTAGTGTGAACAGCGCACACCAAGGAAGGGCTTTCATTGCGCGAGAAAACTCACAATCAATAAAGCACGCGTGGCGTCCTCATAATTCCATTAACTCTAATCCACTTACACACAAGCGGCATAAATGTTAGCACTATTTTCATAATTGATTCAGAGAGCAGAAGTTCTCAGCGCAGCTTTTTAAATTCTGACTCGGGGGAAAAATTGAAAGGTAAAAAAAAATTGAACAAACAAAACTAGCAGGTTTTTAGCTTAAGAAATCTAACAAAATTCTGTGGAGGTATTTTTCATTCCAACAATTTAAGGAAATATTGAAATATTTACAAAGTATAGAGAAATTAATATAAATTGCACAAAATAAATATAATAACACGGTTTTAATTAGTTAATGTTGATTTTATGGAATCAGTTAGTTTAATTTTTGCTGGTTGGTTTCGAGTTGATGAATTCAAATTCAGATGTTAATTAAATAATTGTGTTTTTATATTATGGCAAAAGAATTCAATAAAAGTAAAACAAATTTAGAAACCATCAATTCTTTGGACGAAAATATTTTTTTCCAGCAAGATAATTCCTTAAATCAAACACAAATTCATGATTCTTAAAAGAGCCAATCCATAACCTGCCAAAAAAGAGACCAGAATGAATCGCCCCTGATCGTTCAGCTCGCCAAGCCTGTTTAAAAAATTGAGCAGCAATCGGCTGACGCCAGAGCTGCGAATGTACGCAATCAAGGAATCAAAATCCGGCCGGCTCACCTCTGTTCTCAAGGGCAAACACGGCGAAAAAAGATCACTTTTCGGATCAAGCTGAGTTGGAGAGAAATACCAGCGGGGCAAACAAGGCTGACCATTGATGGCTGATGGATATTGATGGATCGGCGACTTTGAGCGGCCGGCACACCCATAATCACCCGGGCAACAGGGTTTCTCTCGGACCCCCCGAGTGATTCAATTACACCGACCAATATTCTCGTCGGTCCGGGCAGACAGACCAATCGAACGAACCCTTCTCCGTCAAAACGTCGGCTCGTCCGTCCAAACGTCGCGCGCCAGAGAAAGCGCAAAATGATCCCCCGGCTCGAATTTAATTGACGCGTCTTGCGCCAACGATTAATTTGCCCCCACCCCCGGACAACCCCCCTCTCTGCACAAGCGGAGGCAATTTGTTTATTTGCTCACTCTAAATGTTTGCGGTGCGCCATCAGGTGATTTATTTTCCAGCGACCGTCCGAATTCAAGTGCTCTGTGTTTACGTAATTAGGTTTGCTCGCCCGCCCAATATGTGATTTGCTCGTTTACGCTGGATTTCGGAAATCCGGCTTTGTGCAATGATTGCCTTCCAAAATGCGGCGCTGCCCAGTGTAATTTAATTTCGGTCCCTTGTGCCGACGGTTTATTGGCTTTGCCGTTTTTATGATTCGGAACCTGATGCTGCTAATTTCAAACTCAAAATGGGATACAGCAAAATCCTTTGATTACAATTTTTCCTTGTAACATTTTTCATCAAATTGCAGAATAAGAAACTTCAAATGGAGGCTCGGATAAGATGAATCTGTTTATTAAATCAGAAATTTTTTGTTGTAAAATATCCAATATCCAATTTTTCATTACAGGGAAAAATAATAAAAACAAGTTTTTTATTTTGAGCTTATAAATCAGATTCTAAAGATATTTTTATGCGTACAAATTATTTAACCTTAACTAATGGAAGTATCATGCTCATGTAGGCTATCATATATCTTAATGTGAATTAAATTTCATCTTATTAACTATAATTATACCATCTTATTAAAAAAAAAAAAAAAAATGAAAGAGTAATAGGCCTTTTCTATTACTTTCCACGTCCCTTTTTACTCAGACAAAAGCCGTTCAGCGATCGGTGTTAGCTGTAAAAATTAAATCACCTCTTCCTTGTTGAGACCGTGACTGAAGCAAAGTAGAGGAAAATCCTCTTTGCTCATGTCAGGTGACAAAGAGAGACGCAATTCCCTGATCTTGCGCCTTCTTTGCTGCTCGCTCATTTCCTTTCAATCTCGTGCGCTCACCAAGCAACGGCGGAATTGAAATCAACCGTGAGCACATCACCGCGCGTCGCGAATTGCACATTTATTTTCATTATTTCTCAAACGAGCCGGCAAAGTAACACACGCATACAGCGCAATTTCATCCGTTTGCTTTTATTTTTTCAAGAAGAAATAAAAACGCAACGCGAATAACGAGGAGTAAAATTGCTTCCAAAGCTGCTCTTAAAAGCTTTCGCAGAAAGAGGAAAAAATCTATTTTCGAGCGGCTCTCTCCTTTTTAATAAAAATCACTTTTCCGTCGTTTTCTTCTTCCCTTGCGAACCGAAAATTATAATTTATCCTCCAAACCGTCGTTCACACAAATAAATCGGCCGCTTGCGTGCGCAGTTTCCATTTAACTCTCTCGCGCCCAACAACTTCTCATCATCATTGTTGTCTGCCGAGAGAGTTTGTTGATGGATACGCATTTCATCGGCGTTGCCAATCACTTATAGCAACCGAACACAATTACCAACAGGCCGGGCAAGCAGGTGCGAGAGCGCATTTTGCGGTTGAAAGACGCACCCCTGGCTCGGGCGTCGCAGCCCACTTGAATTCAAATTCAATTTGTGTCGGGATCCGATTAGCAAAATGGGTTTTGGTGGTCGACCCAGATTCGCTGCAATTCCAGCCTGTGCTGTCAATTTTCCATTAATTGATCCGACCATAAGTTCCAATTTCTATCTGGGCAAAACTTCTTACTCGGAGGGCTCGTAGAAATTAATTGATTGGTATTCAAATAGTAAGCAATAAATGACTCAAATTCTAGATGTTTTCTCTTTAGGTTGAATTTTTTTAGCAATTTCCTTAATAATAAATCTTGCTTGTCTGGAAAATCAATGGAAATTACATTTCTATATACACTAAACTATTTTTTACTTGTTGATAATATTCAACTTTTGTTTTTTTTTTTTTTTAGCAACCAATGCTTACCCTCCTGGAAATTAATCTCGCAGAGTTCTGAAAAAATATTTATTCTCCTCTTTCCTAAAAACGGTCGTGGAAAAAAATTGCTGAAAGTGACACGATTATTCGTCTCTCCTCTGACGCCCCAGCGTGCAGTCGTTGGATATGGGAAATGATTCGTGGAATTCCAGCAGCAGGGCCGTCGATCTGCGGCGCAGAAAAAACGTATTAGTCGAAGGAGGGCGAGCGATTTTTATTTACTCGCTGTTTATCGAGCGGATCAATTTCGGCCGGTTTTTGCTAATAAAGAGACGCTTTTGGAGGAAAACGGTCTGTCAACGGCACGTGACACGTTCCCAGCTCCGCCGGCACGTTTCGTTCTTTGCTCGTCAGCCAGAAGTTCCGGCAGCACTAAAACTCGGCTCCGGGCAACATAATTTAAACACCTGCGTCACGTGTCGCAATGAATAATGAGCGGTCGGAATCGAATGTGGGCGCCTGCGGTCGAATTGGTTTGCGAGATTCGCACCACACTCACCCACGGCCCATCTGGTAAACCCCGGCGGGTGCTTTTTTGCTTGCTGATCGTCACCTGACCTCTTTAAATATGGATTTGCGAGTTGGGGATTAGAGATACGGCCGAGCTTTGTTTGCTCGGGCTGCAGGTGTCGTTAAATTTTGACACGAATGAGTCGCATGTGAAGTGGCGAAGGAATAAGTTTTATGGAGGGGTGTGGATTTAAGCAGTTGGTGGAGAGAAAGAAGAATGAAAATGGAGCAGAATAGTTTTGGAAAATAATAAAAAATCGAGAGAATTTTTTGTATCAATATTTTTTTAAATCATTGATTTATTTTTTGTCAAAATGCTTTTATTCACACATATGAAGTTGTGTTTTGGAATAAAACATATCATATTCAATTATTTAAAACAATTTGTTGAGAGCAAACGTTGGAAAAGTCGGCACCACACCTAGCAAGAAATAATTTGTTAACAACTTGAAATTTAAAAACGAAACTCTACCAGTTTTAGTTTACAACACTATTTTAAAAGAAAGAAAAATGATATGTATAAATTTATTTAATATAAATTAATTTGATATCTGCAAGCATTGATTAAAAAAATTGATGAATTCTTTTCGAACAATATTATTTTTGTCGTTCTTACACGTTCTCTCCTTGCATATTATAACGATCAAAGTTGATAAACTCTTGCCGGAGATTTCCAATTTAACAAGATGAAGTTTTGCCGCGAGATAATTAGAATATCCAAAGCTCTTCTTTGCTCATCCTATAATATCGAAGCAACTTTGCTCGCATATTGCACTCGGCACTCAATAAAGTTGATAGAGCGTGTGGAATGTAAGGCGTCTTAAAACGCGCTTAAGATAAATTGCAGCATCCGCGCACGCCAAGTGATAGTTGATAAAGTGAAGTGAAAGCCATATAAGGTGTAGGGGTGCGATCATCTTCGAGTTGGAGGCATTATTTTTTTTTCTTATGGTGTTCGCGTGTATTACAGAGAAGGCGAGTCGGCGCAAAAAAGGAAGACAGGTCGGTGAATAGAATCTCGCCAAGAGTTATTGGAGCTTTATCGAGTTTGCCGCTGTTCTCTCTCCTTTCAAACAATCCCGCAGAGCTAGCTGAAGTGGGGCTTTTTGGTTCGCTTCTTGCGGCGGCGAATTTATTAGGTCCCGAAAAGCGACGCGAGGGTTGCAGCGAAACTCTCATATTTACCTATTCATTTTATTGTAAGTGCCAGTGCCGAGATGAAATAATTTATCACGCAGTCTCCTCCTCCGCCCTCTCTTTGGAAATTATTAATTATCCCGAGGTCGACGCGCTAAACTTGTGTAATTTAATACTCAAGTTTGAACGCGATTTGGAAACTTGTCTGCTCGAACCGACCCCGGGCCCATTAGTAATGGGAATAAGCGTCAGAATGTGTGTGTTTGTTGCTGCGAAATCTGATTGTGCTCCCTCTCTCGGCGCTCCAAATTCAATTTTTGGCAATGCTATTCCCCGCGGAAACGCACGCGCCGCCCGAATTAAAAGCTGCCGCCGCTGCTAAGTGAATTATGCTGCTCTGGAGCATTCGATCAAATTGCAATTTCACGAAGATTGCGCTGAAAAGCAATTGAATTAACGCGATTATGTTGTGTATATATAATTATTTCCAAAGATTTCAATTCAAATGTAAAGCAAATGTACATAGAGTGAGGTCGGGTTGAAGTCGTTAGTACCCAAATCACGTTCGCATTTTGAACCCTTTTAGGACAACGGTTGGTTTACAATCCCTGGATTTTGTCCACCCGCCCACACTGACACCCACACAGTCACAAAAACATCCATCAGTTGATTGGTGGTATTAGCCTTTTGTTGGAGTGATTTCCACACACTTTGCAGCACTCGCCAAGCTGAGGCGTATTTGCATCAAGTTTTGACGCTCCTGGGACACTCAAGTTGATCCGCTGGAATTCCCACGGACACTTGTTGACGTGAGAGATTAGAGAGTCCCTTTTCCCCCTTCCTACAGTGTAAGCATTTTCCAAAAAAATTCTAATCAAATTAACTCAAAACTTGATGCTTGTTAGCCTCGGTTGAGTGGTTGGTCCCTGTCTTTAGAAACCTTCTCTTGATTCACTTTCTTTCTTGTAAAAATATCGAATTTGGCAACTTTTGCGGCGCAGGAGTGGCGCAGACCGAAGCTGCGCAGTGGCGTGGCAGCCACCAAGAGCAGCAGCCTCGCGACCAAGCAGCCGCCGCAGCCGTCGGCACCGAGTGTCCAGCACCAACCCCTCCCCACCACTGTCCCGAATGCCAACGGAGCCTCTTCGGCTTCCCAAGGCAACGACTCTTCCGCCAACAACAGCGACAAGTCGCCGTCGCCGCAGAAAAACTCGTCAACTCTCAATAAACCCATTAAAAAGGTGTTTGGGCATGCGCAGTTGTCTAGCAGAAAAACCTTATTTTTTTAGCAGCACGATTTTGAGCGCAGACTTTTACTCACTTATTTTGTTTTGATTTTGCAAGAGAGACGAAACGTCAAAGGCTTTTTTTAATTAAATTTTTCAAATTATATACTTTTTATTGCTATCCAGAAAAAAGAAAGCGTTTCCTCTGTCTTGCCTGTGTTGCAATTTTTAGCAGAATTAGTTGGAATGCCGTTTGCCTCTCTTTCTATCTTTTACCAGCTTGTGTTTGCTTTGTTGTTTCGGTTTGAGTGATCCAGTAATTAACTCCGGTGTTTTCTCTCTCATTGCAGGAGAAGGAGGGCATCAAGAAGAAGGGCAGGAACAAAGAAGGTGAGCGTTTTCTTCCTCTTTCTTTCATGACTTTTTTTCTTTGTTCCCTTTGGCCGCCGCCGCTGCCGCACACAAGTGATGAAATAAGCAACTTCAAAGTTGCTGTGCGAGAGCGCGCGCCCGTCGCTGTTTAGAGACGAAAGTTTGATCAAACAATCTGCATAAATTTAACACGAAAAATGAGATTTAGCTGTAGACTCGTTCACTCGGCTGTCAGGCCCGGTGAGCGATGAGAGCGAATACTCCCTCTCGTGCTTTTGATGTTTTATTTAGAAAAAAAGTGAGAAAACATTTGCCCAAGCATATTATCGTACTGGCACCAGAGATTCACTCAGTCAGTGTTTTTGTGCAAGCACGTCCTTGAACTGTTGTTCATTTGGCGCAGAACATTGCAAAATTTCCATTTTTCACCCTCATCAACATCACCCTCCCGTAACCTAAGTGTGAAATGAGTTAAAACAATTTGATATTTGCAACTAACTAAAAACTACTTTTTAATAATAACCAATTTGAAAAAATCAACAGGTCTTTCAAATTTTATTGTTTGATTCACACTTTTTGTTATTTTCCCCCTAAATAAGTATATTCTCTTTTTTTATACATATCCGGCAGACGTGTAGAATCCAATATAAATTTATGGGCATTTTCCTTCTCCCTAGCTTTTCTCGAGATATCGTCACTCCAAATATCTTTCCCACTCGATCAGAACCACCCCTTTTTATGAATTTGCCCTCCGTCTCATTTTTGCAAATCCTCCTTTCCTTCCTGTTTTTTTTTTTTTTTAGTCTTTCTCTTTCTTTCCTTGAATACACGCCACGTATCGGAGATCAAACGTCTGCCCCGGGTAACAAAAAGGTGTTGGCCTCCCGCCGATCTTCCTCTTTTTTGCCTCTTTATTTCTCTGTGAATAACAAATCGGGGGGCCGCCATGCAGCGAATTTATCTTGATTTTGCTCGACTAAACAAAGACTGACTGTGCGTCTGTTCTCTTTTTCATCCCTGCCTTATCACGTGATCTGCTACCCCATCGCGTCAATCAATCAATCGCGCACTTTGGTGAGTGAGAGAGAGCTAGAAACTCTGCAGAAACCCTGCTGCCTGCATGCCTTTCTTTGGACCGTGACGTGTGTGCCTCGATTCCCGCATACCTTTCACACCCTGTCTGCGAACCCGGCTAGCGATCGCCCCCATTGCAAACGCCGCCGTTGAAATGAGAAAATGAGAGCACCCCTTTTAATACACGTCCAACCGACCGGGCCATGTCGAGACGTTTATTGACTCCGGCCGTTGAAACGGAAATGAAAATTTTCTCGCATTTCCGCGTTCCGTCAGTTAGATTTTGTTTTCCCGCATTTCGGCATTAATTCCCATCGCATTCGTGTCACTCAATTTTTTGCAACGAAACAAAATTAACCAAATTTATAAAAAAAACCTTTGACGCGTTGCAAACACTGATTGACCAGCACAAAGTGAAATGTTGGGTGAACAGCGTACAAAGTGTAAATATACAAAGGAATATAAAAAATTAATTACCCGTACTATATAATTCAACATTGGTTGAATGCTAAATTTATCGGAACGAATTTTTCTTTGTCAGTTTTCGGTTATTTTTTATGATTATATTTTTTCCTCTGTTTGGTAAAAACAAACAGTTAATTGGGTTCCAAAAATAGTTTTTATTAAATTATTAATTAAAATGCTCTCCAAACCGTTTCAATACATTTTTAAGTTTCCTCTTAAAAATTTAAATACCCTATTCCTATTTGCTCTTTTGCATGGAGGCGTGATTGGAGATCTTCAATGATTTTGTACCACTAAAATACTCAAATAAACATTTTTATCTCATGAAAAATGAAGATATTAAATTTTTGTAAATTAATATTTTTCCATTTTTCCCTTTGCTCGGGAAGATTTTTTATTTGTACAAAATCATTAATTCTTGCAATTAATCTCATTTCAATCGTCGGCTTTCAATGGGAGCACCGCTGCACCAGTATCAATTCTGCACCTGTGTCACCAAGTAGTTTCCCATTCAAATCACAGTATATTATTGTTACTTTTTAAAACTTTGAATTTGGCCGTCTGACTGCATGCGTCCCGCCGCTCGCCCAGTTGCGAACGATAAAAATCGCCGACTCATTTCTTTTGAATTGACTTTTCTTAAAAAAAAAAAAAAACTTGCGTACGTATAAAAATTGTGACTCGGAAAGGTGGAGCAAAATTGTTTGGTGTGCCCCCGTGTGTGTTGTATGTAGAGGACCCGGGCGGCTGCAGCGTCGCGCGGGTCGCCTACCTGGCCCGGCTCGGGCACTAAAACGAGTGCGGCCTTCTTGCAGACCTGATGCGCGACCCAACAGTGCTGATCGAGGGCGTGCTCTTCCGCGCCCGCTACCTCGGCTCGACGCAGCTCGTGTGCGAGGGCCAGCCGACCAAGTCGACCAGAATGATGCAGGCCGAGGAGGCCGTGTCCAGGATCAAGGTGAGTGCGACGCGCGAAACAAAATCTTGTGTTGTGTCTGGCAGCTGCCCCTCCCTGGGAGTGAGTGCCGCGTGCTGTTTTGGTTGGTTGGCATTCGAGTCTATTGTTCTGCTCAATTCGATCTGATTCGTTCTTTCTCATTCATTCCGGGCTCACATCAGTCTGCGATTTTAATTTTTATTTACCAACACTTTTCAATGTTTTATTTTTTATTACATTTGTGTGGTTCACTGCGCAGATTTTCTTTTGTGTTTGTTCGCAAGGATTCGCACCTTTTCTGATTTAGGATAAGCTCAAATTTTTTTACCGCACCAATTGAATTTTTTTATTTACATTAATCAAAAAAGTTGTAAATAATTTTAATAAACAATCCATGCTTTTTACTATAATAAGATTAAAATTTTTGACCGCTTTTCAGCAGCTATTTTTGCTTCAATTATTATTTTGCGCTGTCTGACTGGCGAATGCATCTCTTCTGATTTTCCCCAGCTCTTGACGTCACCGACTAAAACAAAAATCTTGCAAAAGATGGACCGTCCTGAGCACCACCTGTAAATAGAATACTAAAAACTACACAAATGTACACAATTAAAAAAAAAAGGAAAAATTGATTCAATTTTGAGAGAATTTTTTCTTACTGCGATTAAAGCGTGGCTCCGTTTGTTTAAAATTTGCAGGCCAACCAAAACTGCAGCCCAAACTCCCGGGGTTACGGTATAGATGATGAGGATGATGAGTCGGATGAGTCTAGCGGGGGTCGCGGGGTCGCGCGCGGAGAGAGAGGGGAGGGAGAGGATTTAAGTGAGGATGATGATGATGAGGATTTAAATGAGGAGGAGGAGGAGGAGGATGACGAAGAAGATGAGGCCGAGGAGGAGGAAGAAGAGGAAGAGAATGCGGACGAGAACTCGGACTCTGAGGACGAGCCTGACGAGGAGGCGGAAACCAAGGAGGAGCCGAAACGGGACGCTGAGGGGGTGCTTTCTCTCTCTCCGGGGGGCCGGGGGGCGACCGCGTTCAAGCTGCAGTTCCTGGGCTCGGTCGAGGTCGAGGAGGAGGGCAAGAAGCACCGAAAGCGCCTCAAGAAGAACATGGTTGAAGAGGCCGTGTCTAGAGTCAAGGTGTGTGAGACTTGATCCGACTCGAAACAAAGCAAAAAGTCTTTTTGTACATTCCGAGAATATGATATATGACGTTGAAATATAAGAACGCCAAAAAAATATATAACAAGAGATCAGGGTTCACACTTGCTGCTTTTTGTGTGTTTACGTTAGCTAACTGGCAGTTGGCTTCATAATTTTTGGTTGTTAACGCTGGCTTGGAAAATTTGTATACAACAGAAACATCAAATTTGTTTATTTTTCAATGTGTAATCCATCAAAATTTAGTTTAAAAACAGAAACACACATCCCAAATTTAATATCCTTTGTTGCATCTCTATTTAAACTTAATTGTAATTTTAAAATTTTGTTTAGAAATACTAGATTATTGAATTATTTTTCATCTCAATTTTAATAGCTTTAACAAACTTCATCAAGTAATTAAAGGCAAACTTAGAGCCAACCCTGACAGTTGTTATAAATATTTAGTGTCGATTTTTAATATTATGTATTATTTATTCGGCAGCTTTGGTCGATCACACAGTTTTCTAGTTAGGACACTCTTTGATCTTTGATTATTGCAAACAAAATCAGTCGACTGAAATCGACAGTTGTTGTTTTGCATGGGGCGGGCGGGGTCGGACGGATTTGTAAATTTTGATCATTTTTTTGTATTATTTTCCAGCACCACCCATCACTGTTCTGATACATACATTATTTGCTGTTTATTTGTGAATTGTTTCAAATTCAGCACCAGGCGTTTTGATCCAAGTTACTCAGTTTTGCAATTGCACAATCAGTAGCTGAACGACCAGAAACATTATCTGCTTTTGATTCTCATTGTGGCAATAATTAGACTCGATTGAACACATCTAGGCGAAATGAATTAAAACTGAACGTGTAAAAAAATGTACTAAATTGGCTCATCCAGCATGCTGCGCCATCCTCCTACATCTAAATCAGACTCAAAAATCCTCGTCTAACCGAAAAAAGGCTGCTTGTTGATGTACTCTGAATTTTTGTGTGTGTGCGTGTCTGCTGTAATTTGTGTGTCTTGCGAGCACCACTTTTGGCGCCAATTTTCTAACCAAATTTTGTCTCTTGTCTTTTTCCTAACGCTGCTTTTGACGGCTCCTCTATAGGCTTTGGTAAGTAGAAATTAATGCTATTACTAATTAACACGCTAGAGTAGGATCCAAAATCGGTAGAAGATTAAAATGGCACTTTTTTTATTTTTAGGCACCTGAAGGTGAAAATCAGCCAAGTACAGAAGTTGATCTTTTCATATCCACTGAGAAAATCATGGTCCTCAATACCGACTTGAAGGTAACGTTTTATAGTTTATCAAAGTATTTTAATTTCTAAAACAACAATAATTCAAAAATATAAATTGTAAATATAATAAATTCAGAAATTCATTTGGATGTTTGGTGTTTTTATACTAAATTATTTTTAAATTCTCAATGTACACTTTTTTCTAAAGAAAAGTAATTGTAAAATTTAAGTATTTTTAGTGATCTATTGCATTTATGTCAAATTCCTGACTTGGAGAACCTTTTACTGACAATAGCGTATTCTCGTAGGAAATAATGATGGACCATGCCCTGCGCACAATTTCCTACATAGCCGACATTGGTGATCTAGTTGTCCTTATGGCTAGGAGGCGGTACGTTCCGCAAGACGTAGAGGAACCACCAAAAATCAATCGCACACCCAAAATGATCTGTCATGTTTTTGAAAGTGACGAGGTATTTTTATTTGCACCCTAAGTACAATAAAAATCTGATACATTTTGAACGATTCCAGGCTCAATTCATTGCACAATCGATAGGGCAAGCGTTCCAGGTGGCATACATGGAGTTCCTGAAAGCCAATGGCATTGAAGACCACAGTTTCGTCAAAGAGATGGACTACCAGGAGGTGCTCAACTCGCAGGAGATTTTCGGCGACGAGTTGCAAATGTTCGCCAAAAAGGAAATGCAGAAAGAGGTGCGGTTTTATTTTAAATTAAAATTATACAATGACAGTGCTTTGAAAATCTGCATTTATTTACAAACAAAAAATGTAATAATTGCAAAACTAAAACTAAAGTAGAAGCTATTTTTATTTATAATGATTAATTTTCTGCTTTTTTTTTTGCACTAAAAATAAGAAGTGCAGTACTTTTGAATATAAAATATTCACAAATTTATTTTAAGAGTCATATGCATTTTGAGCACAGATGATAATTAATTCTATTTAACTGATTTAACGTAAAAATTGTTTTATCTGATTCGTTGCAAAGTAAATTCTACAATTTTTGTAACTTTTCAGGTTGTTGTGCCTAAAGCCAAAGGAGAAATACTGGGTGTTGTGATAGTGGAGTCAGGGTGGGGCAGCATGCTGCCGACGGTGGTGATCGCCAACCTGGCTCCGAGCGGCGCCGCAGCCCGTTGCGGCCAGCTCAACATCGGCGACCAAATCATTGCCATCAACGGAGTCAGCCTCGTTGGTCTTCCGCTGTCCACTTGCCAGAATTATATTAAAGTGAGGAATTCAAAAATGAAATTCTTCTTAAACGCATATATTTTCAAATACATTTTTAGAACGCAAAAACTCAAACCGTGGTGAAACTGACTGTTGTTCCTTGCGCCCCAGTGGTTGAAGTCAAAATCAAGAGGCCAGACACAAAGTACCAGCTGGGATTTAGTGTGCAAAACGGAGTGGTCAGTCAATATTGATGCAGAACTGAGAGTTGAGAACTAATCGTGTTTCAACAGATATGTAGCCTGCTTAGAGGAGGAATAGCCGAGAGGGGTGGAGTGAGAGTTGGACACAGGATAATTGAGATTAACAACCAGAGCGTCGTGGCTGTCCCTCACGAGAAGATCGTCAACTTGTTGGCGACCTCTGTTGGAGAGGTAAGTTATTTTTACAGTTACTGAATGAATTTTTATTTGATTGATTAAAATACTAAAATAGTATAATTTATACTTCACTTTAAAACTCTTTTTTTTCCGAAAAACTAATCAAGAAATTAATATTACAGAAAAATTTCACTTAAAATTTGTAATCTCCGTATGATTATTGTTTGACAATGAGTACATTTGTTTTCTCTAGTTTTATTATTCAAATCAATATCAACCTCACTGAAATTTGTTTAAAAGTTTATTTGAAATGTTTGAGCAATTTAATTGAAATTTTATTGCTTTCAGATCTTGATGAAGACGATGCCGACCTCGATGTTCCGACTGCTGACTGGACAGGAGACGCCGCTGTACATTTAGTGTGTCCTTCTGCGCGCCTTCTGCCTGTCCACCTGTGGTGCTGACTATTGCCTGATTGTGCCTCTGCCACTGGAACTGCTGCTTTGGGCAACCCCATTTTTATTATTTCCTCCTCTGCCGCCAAAGATATTAAGAGCAGGCAACACAATATCAAGTTGAATTTGTGCTGTTTCTAGTCATAATCGTGTCAACCTGCGCCACCGAGGGAGCTGAAAAAACGTGATGACTTAACATTTAGATTACATACAAAAGCAGTGCATCGACGCTCGAGTGTTGATTCTCGACTGAGTCAGTCTATGTACGTACGTACGAGTCAAGCGTGTGCAGTGAAAATAATTCTCTGGTTTTTTGACAAAGAGGTTTTGATATTTATCCCCACTCACATATGACATCACTCTCGACTAATGTTTATAAAAAAACACACTCTCTGGGACCGTCCCTACTCGACCAGGCCAATTTTTAATTGATTAATTTTTAAACCATTTCTCCTCTGCCGTAGCTTGAATTCAACCGTGTGACTAGTCAGGTGTTGAGTAATTGCATTTATCAGGTTATTTGTATTTTAATTACCAGTGAGATGATTATTTTTCGCAAATTTAATTTTTGATACTGGCCTGCACGAATGAAAGGGGGTCCCGACTTGAAACTGACACTAGCTGAGTGGAGAGAGAACTATATATTGTAACAGATAATAAGAGGACGAGTTTGAGATCGATCGATTGACAATTCGTAAATTGCGTAACTTTTTCAAGCGACAGAAAAAAAATTTACAAGTGAACTAATTGACACACAAAAAATATCAAAACTGCAAAACTGGTGATGAGATTTTGGAGTGTAAACATTAATGTCTCATGTACTCTCAGCAGCTGGGACCATAAAAAATCAGCTAGTGTGTATTTATGTCTCGGCTATTTAAGAAGAAAAAGAAAGAAATGGTAACTATGAAAACAACCAGCTAAAACACAAACTGTATATCTAACCTTTGTAGAGAATTGATCAGTGTAAATAACTCAAATTAAAGATAAAAATATGTGATTACAAGCAACGACTATATTTTTATTTCCTTATAATCAAAAGGGAAATAGTTTTAAAAAAAAAATCGAGAAATGCCAACTTTTCACAATTGTTATTTATTTCGGGCCGTCCTTGCCAGTGTTTTGCGCGCACTTACCTTATTGCACTTATTTACACACTTGCACCGAAAACGAGTAAACATTTACACCAACAGACTTGGAGACTATAATAGTTAATATTAGCCTTAAATAGAGGGGAGGTTCGTCGAGCCGCTTTTTCGCTCACAACGCGTGACTGCAAATGCTATGTCTCGGGTGGTCCCCTGATGGTTTTGGAAGGGCCAAGCACAGCAAACCACTCGCTGAAAGACAAAAAAATTAATTGGGAAATTAAATCATCCTGTTTTGCTTTTTCGACTTCAGTACGCACCTATGAGCAGGACTCCAAACGTTGTGATCGGAACTACGCAGCTGAAATCGAGCAAAATGCCAAGCAAAATGTTGCCCAGCACGGCACCAATGCGGCCACAGGTCACGGTCAGTGAAACAGCCAATGCTCTGAAAATGATTAATTTCTCGAATTAAAAATAATTGCCTGGGAAATAATACCGAAGATGTGTGGGGAAGATGTGGACGACGGCGCAGAAGAGAGTAGCTTCGGCCACACTCGCCAGGGCTTCAAAAACGCAGGACAGAACCAAATTTTGCATCTCGTTGTGAATTAGATGCAGGCAGAGAATCGAAATACCAGCAGTAGTCATGAACAAAGCTGAAAATAAATTTTGCTTTATTTATATTAAAAACTTAAGTAAATAAAAAATTCGACACTAATCATTAAGATTTATTAAATATGAAAACATATTTTTTTTCTTTATAAATTATTAATTCATAAAAATATTTATGAATAATTTAAATTTATACATAACTGGAACTAATACATACGTATTTTGTTTTCATTTACATTGAAATGAGATTATGAATTGTAATAGTTTATTTTTTATTGTTCCTAAAATAAATTGATGAATAATTTGCATATGAAAATAACCATAATTTCTCCTTCTTAAATTTTACATGGAAAAAATTTATGACATGAAAGTAATTTTAATCAATTGCAATTTTTCCTTACTGAGCATGATTCTGGTGCCCATTTTCCTGACGAGGTAGCCCAGCATGAGCGACGTAGGCAGGCAGCTCAGGCCGATGATCAGCGTGTGCAGGTAGACTTCATTGTCTGGACCGTGCATGTGATCGGGACTGGTGCAGTTGTTGGCGCTCGGGTCCATCACAACCCCCATGACGTCGCACACGCCGGACACCTCCGTCTCCTCGCCGTGCAGGTGGTTGAACGAGCTGAACCGTTCCAGCAGCTCGGGAAACCACAGCATCAAAGTGTAGTAACTGCAAAAATAATTTTTACATAATGCATTTTAAATTAATATTGGAAGAATTAATCCTAAATTTGAGAAAATTGCTTATTTTTTATGCAATTGAATATAAAAATATTGTTCATTTGTTTAATTTTTTTATAGAGCGTTCATCTTATTGTAATTAATTTAATTGTACCTAAATTAAATTATTTAAAATCAAGTAATTCAATTAAAAAATTAAAATCATTACAACTGCTTGTATAGCTTTTAATTAATTTCCTGCTTCAACGGTTCCCATTTTTTATTAAAGAATTTGTGAATATTAATTTTTTTTTACAAATTTAACATTTTTTACCTGGACATAATTCCAAAGTCAATGAAGCAGGCGAGCAGCGTGTATTTGGCCAAAGGCCCTGAGAACAGGGCCACATTTTGCTCCCACAAAACTTTCATCCGATTGGCGAATTGTCTGCATAGAGAGGCTTTTGGTTCCTTGTGGCCCAACGGAAGGTGAACCGGCGAACCATCTTCGTTCAACTGCAGATCGTACGTCTCGGCCGCTAACCGATGGACCTTGAATTTGTAAAAGTGAGAATTATTTCCTCACAGGCAATTTCTTCTATCAATTACACAATATTCCGACACTGGTCTTTTCTTGTTAAAGACGAAAATCTTCCTCAGCACTTCCAAGGCCTCGTCGTGGTGGCCTCGAGACAGAAGGAATTTTGGTGTTTCCATGAAGAAGAAGTGCAAAATAATGGCGATGACCAAACTGGGCACGCCGCAGAAAAAGACGAAGAGGCGCCAACTTCGAAGGATAAGGTCAGGAAACGGCGTCCAAGTGATCGGAAGTGGAATCACAATCCACGCCAAACCTAAGCACAGAAATTTGATTTATCTTAATTCAAAAATATAAAAAATAATGGATAACTTTAAAAAAAATTATTTAGAAATTTTCATACCAGATTAGCCAATTTTATATAGTTTTCCTATACAACTTTAATTGAAATTAAAAATGGAACAAGCAAAACAAACAAAAGTTTTATGTCATACCTGGAACGGCACAAACTCCGAGTACCCAAAACAGCTCCAGCCTGCAGAGGTTCAGATCTCGGTGTTTGTAAGCGAGAAATTCACTCATGTACGGGAAAACCACACTCGTCGCGCCGATGATTCTAATTGGGAATTGAAACGGATTGATTAAAATTATTATTTAATTTTATTTGCGTTGAACTACCCAAATCCGTTGAAGAAGCGGCAGGCAAGGAAGGAGAGCAGGTTGGGCGCGAGGCTGGAAAGCAGAGCGGCCACAAAGTCCATGGTCATTGAAATGACCAGCACACTCTTCCTGCCACGAGTGTCCGCCATCGAGCCCCACACGTATGAACCAAAAATCATCCCTGCAAAAATCATTAATTAATTTAAAAATAAATTCAAATCAATCGGCAAGAAAAAGAGAAACATAACAAGAAGAAATATGAACAAAATTATGTACATAAATAATAATCTTTTAAAACATTTAAGAATATAATATTTTTCAGTGTTAATATCTACCATTCTAAGTGATTAAATTTTTTATAAACTCATAATTATTTACCTCTTACGTTCTTAAATGATAGTCAAAACCTAAAATGAAGCGAGAACTCATAGTCTAAAGAATACTTTTGCTTTAAAATATTTATTTAAAATAAGATAATTTAAGTAAAACAATGCTTGTATAATAAATTAATATATATAAAAATGTAGTTAAAAATAAAATTAAAACCTCAAATTAATTAAATTATCAAAAATAATAAACAAAATTTTAAAGTCTATAATTATATAACATAAAAATATAACACTAATATTTGAAAATAATTATATTTTTAAGTTTAATTTTTTATTGGTTAGCTTGTGTGCTAATTATTATTAAAGACATTCAAACAAACAAAAATAATCACGGTCATAGCAACTCTGGATTTCTGCAGGCACGTATTTTATTTTCTCTAAATCTCAAGGTATTTCCTTCAATTAATTCTTATCTCGAACCTGTCGCAAACTCAAAATAACTTGTCGTTTCGCGAGAAACAGACGCAAATCGCACTGCACGTGTTCCGATGTTAAACAAGACAACCCGACGTGATCTGACCTTAATTGTAATGGAGGCGCGCGCGCTTTGTTAATTACAACCACAACAATACGTTGCTTTATTTAAAAAGACGTAACTCATTACGAAGAATTTCCGCTACAACTCTTTTTTCACAAATAGTATAATTAAATATAAACTGCTGACTTGATTAGTAGTTACTGACAAAATAAAAATGATTTAATTGTAATAAATAGTATAATAAGATATTGGCCTGATCCTTATATAAGTTAGTGGAATATTCATAAAAATTACTCTTTTTAGAATAAAGTTTTTAATTTTTGCTAATATTAGCGTAGAAATCTAATAAACCTTAGAGGATAAAAAAAAATCGGAAAGCTTCAGTCATATTTTTGAAAAAGGAAATGGGTTCATGGTGATTCCAAAAACTTTATTTACATTTTCAAAATTTCGATAAAATTCATAAACGATTCCATATCAACTTTCAATAAAATCTGCATGCAACGCATTTTCATTGAATTTTTTAAATTTCCAACAAGCATCGGATTAAACTTTTTAAATTTATAATTTTTTGAATTTTACTCAATATGAATTTCTTTATTTTTTTCAAGGAGCTATAACAAATAAAAAGTGAAATAAGTGAAGAAAAATTGCTTACCGACAAGAGGGGTGGCGTTGATTTCACCTTTTTCGGCCGAGTCGAGCGAAAAGTCGCACTCAGCAGCCGGAAGCACAAAGGACAGGGTCGTGGTGCCGATGGCGCACGTCATGTACACACTGCCGCATATCATAAGCAGCCAAAAGTGGTACCATCCGTACCCTTAAATCACACGTTGATTATTAAATTTGCAAATTTTTACCAAAATCAAAAAGCACCTGTTTCCCTGATCGCCGTTTCCAGGTCGACGGCTGGTCCGTGAAGGTGACCGTTCCCATAGTCTAGACCTGGTAAAATAATGATAAAAAAAAATTATATTTGGAAAGTGGTTGCGGATTTCTTGAGAAATGAAAATTTAGAGGTAAAGGTTCAAGCTTACTTTCTGAAGAGCATGAAGTGCACGTATGTATAAAAAGGAAGAAAAATATAATATCAAAAATGTAAAAATGAGCTGAAAGTTTAAATGGAAAAAAAATGTAAATTTGTAATGACACTTTTAGATCTAGATATGTTAAAAAATTTACAACAGGTAAAAAACGTTTCATTTTGCAAATTTTACAGCGTTGAACGTGATATGATATCTCTCTTCATTGGCTCAATGCTGAGATTGATATTGACTCAAACGATGCATCTGATACAAGCCAAAAATTAATTTTTTTTGTGATGACTTCCTTATCAGATGCGTCATCTTTACAAAAGTAATCGTGATGAATAAATCTAATTAAATGTTGTTTAATCAGGAAATCCAGGGATAATAATATTTTCAAAACTTGTTAAACTTGTAAACAACTCGGAAACAAAACAACTTATAACTTTAAATAATTTTTTGTTTACTTTTGATTGTTTTGACTTGTTAAGAGAATAATAAATTGAAAGGAAATTTAATTTGTTTATGTATTATCAATTAAATTCTTTAGATAAAAAGATTTAAAAATAATATACGATTGTGTTAAATAAATGGAAAATTGCGAGCTCATACCTTTGTGCTGCTTGTTGTTGTGCTCTCTCATTCCAAAGAGCATGAACGAATCCTCGCTCTGCCGCGAGTTCCTCCGGTCCATCGTGAGGCGAACGCAAATATTATGCTTAACGCCAAGTGCCTGCGTCGCGAGTGCTCACCGAGAAAGAATCCGCGGCGCGTTTGAACAGTTCGGTTTCAGGCAAACACGGCACGTGAGTCGCCGCCGAAAACACACCATCCACATTAGGCTCCTGCTGGGCCCTATTTCCAGCAGACAAACAACCCGAAATTGCAAAACAACACCGAACTGCATTGTTGCAGAAAATCAAACGTGACAACAATTGTCATTTTTCCAACAAGAAAAATAATGGGTCTTTTCTTTTTAATTGTTGGAAAAATGAAATGTTGAGATTTAAAATTTGATTAAATAAAAAAAGGAAACAGATAATGAGTATTGAAATGATATAAGTAGGTTTTTTCATAACCTTCAACATAAAATCACATTTTTTTTCAGCCTGAAAATAGTAAAAATACAATTTTTCTTGCCAATCAAAAACAAAAAATGATTAAAACAATTTTCGCTTTACAAAAAAAAAATGTAGATAGCTTTGCTCTTTAAATCACTTCTTTAATTTAATGTTTTCGGAATAAGCAACTACGAGGAAGTAGCAGTAGGGCTTAAAAGAGATCTTACATGAAAATATAATAAATAATATTTTTCTTTAATTAATTTTATAGATTTTTTAAGGCTTTCTTAGAAGGTAAAATAACAATGTCTTATCACATTTGAGAATTTAGCTGGTCCTTATTTAATTTTTGGAGAGATTCTGGAAAAAGAAAATTAGTCAGAGAGATGCAGCAGCAAGTAAATTGAATCAAATATAATCAAAAGATAATTGAACATTTAAGGTAGTTTCACACACACATAATATAGCCCTTAATGATAATCAATAAACGCAATAAACATAAAAATAAATGCATTGATAAAATCCTTGTTCATAAACAACTTACACTAAACTTTTTTAATGTAATTCAAAGTTCTATTAATGACTACTTTTTATATATTCATTTCACTCTTATTTATTACTGTTAATGACCAGAAGTTTCAAATTACTGTGAACATATATTTTTAAAAGGAGACAATTTCAATGCAAGAAATTCACATTCTGGTAATTTGCGAATATCAAACTCTCCCTTGTTTCAATTAATTTTGCTGTAATAACTTGATTGCCGAAAAATAAATTTTATTACCCACCTAAAAACCATAAAAAAAGAGAATTCAAGACAGTGTCTCTTTTTCATTTTTCCGAGGTCACCTTTTAATCAACGCGCCTCGCATTTCCTTTCGAGAATTTTAATTGTTCTTTGGGCCTCGCGACTCATTTTTATCAAATTTTTAAGTAAACGAAGTGGAAAAAGCTCTCACGCGAGATATGATTGTTTTCCGAGTGGCCAATGAAGGGGTTGAAACGTGGCTTTCAACGCGCCTCACCAGTCACGTTTCCTTGATTTTGATTGGCCGAGTATTGTTTAAAAACTGAAAATGCAGCGCTTTCGTGACATATTTTCCAAACCAGGTTGACGAGGAAACACGAGTCGTTATGAACAAACTGATTCTACTTGGTGTGAGTTGAGCTTTGAGTTTTTTGAATTAATTGTTTTATGAAGTAACTTTAAAATTGAGTCATTTGTTAACAAATTTGTTTACTGACTTAAAGTTGATTTACATTGGATAAAGAACGTTCATTGAACCTCGTAAAGAAGCAAACGTGATAATTTTAATGTATTATTGGGAAAAATTTAAAATCAACGTTTTCCATTTATCTTGAACTTAAATAAAAAAGGCAATCTGGAGAGATTGGCTTAAATTTAAAATAAACTTATTCCATGACTGATTAAACAGGTATTTATAGAATTTGCAAGAGTTTATTTCATATTTTCTACTAGTTTTGCATTACAGAAAAACAATTTCTTACTCCTTGTTTTTATCAATTGAAAAACTTCTGAACGCAATTTATCGCAATTTTTTGCTTTCCATGTTTCATCGAAGACGAAAAATTCATCTTGTGGAATTTTACATACAATGAAGTCACATTGCAAATTATTTAAAAAGAAATGTGTTTTTCAGTTTGTGCTGGTCACCCTGTTGGCTGTCGGCACTGAAGGGAGACCAGGTGTAGCCGAGCAGCGGAAAAATGAGCTTGACGATTCTGGTAAGCGTTATATGCCTACTGAGCAGCGAAAGATTCTGGGACTGGCTCAAGACAAAGTGAAGGCATATTATGGCAAGAAATATGGCAGGGCTCGAAAGCAACAAAATAAGAACCCTTCCAAAGTGACCGCGCCTCCTAAAAATCCTAACCAGAAACCAGAAAAGAAACCAGACAAGAAGCCAGCCAATCAATCAATAAAATTACCAACAGGAGGAAACCCATTTAAAATCCCAAATAGAAAACCAACAACAGAAAAACCTAATACTGATAAGAACAAACAGCCCGAAAATACAACTCAAATAGAAATCGATGGAACAGAAAATCCTGCTGAAGCCGAAGATTAAAGAATAGTAGAAACCATTAAACCAAGACAAAGCGTTCATGCATGTCTTAAAAATTATTTGTTTTGGTGTTGAAAAAAGCTTGTATTCAAATTTTTAACATGATTTCCATAAAAGAGAATTACAGAGTGCGACCAATGATTTTTATTATTAATTACCTCATATCTAGACATATTTCATGATATCAGCTTTTAAATTTAAGAAGTTTATTGAAACCTGAAATTTTTTAAATTCTTCAGAATTAAATGATTATAAACACGTTCATTCTGGACGAAAAAAAATTTTAGTCATGGTTATATTGAATATGGTGAAAGCATTACTGTCGACAGACTGTGACTATAAATCAAAGAAAGAGGTTTTCACTTCCTCCATAATTCCAGTACAATATCAATTTTCCGTCTATGACAGATAATCAGAAAAATTTTAACCGTCATTGTTATAATGATTTTATTTAACCAATAAGGAATGCCTTTAATAATTAATAATTTGAAGTAGGATAAAAGCAGCAAAATTGATCAAAGAACAGCCTTGCCATGCTATTCGATATCAACTTTACCCAATTTCTACTTTAATACTTTATTATTATTATTAATTATGAACGAATCATTAATTACGAGACATGTCATGTGACTTTCTGCACACATTTACATCAGTCGTCGAATAGCGTTCTTTTGCTTACCAATACCCCTTGCTCTACCTTTCCGTGTCATTTGTATATCCAAGTTCTACGATTTCCAGTTTCTACTATATCAAGTTTGATGCCTCTTAATTGGAATTACCTATTTTTATATTTTTCATATTTTCAAAATTAGTGCAATTCCTTTTTTAATTAAAACAGGAAGAAAGTTTGCGATTTTTTGAAATAAGGAATATTAAATAAAAATTAAAAGAAAATTGTTTTTGAAATATCTCAATTTTTATTTATATAAAACGTGCCAGCATTTATTTCATTCGTGAATTTCAAATATATGTACAGCACATTTTTTTCACGATTACTGTGTCACATAAAGAATTAAAAAATGACTGTGAAAAGCAATTATCTAAAACCACAACAAAAATAATTTCGATAAATTTCTTGGCACATTTTTTGCTCTTCATTGGTGTCTCAAAATTTTAATAGTTCCAAAAAATTTGGCACTCCTCCTTCCAGAAAATAAAATGAGCTGACAAAAACAATCATTACACTCTTCCACACTAACACATTCACGCATGCACATAGTAACTTATAATTATTACAGTTTTTTGCTTCCCAATATAGTCGTCTTTAAAAAAAACTGCTGCAGCATATTGTTTTAAATTTTTAAAATCTTTGTCTCTCTACAAGTAAACTGCACTCATTGTGCATACTGCTGTGTATTGCATTTTCTCAAAAATCTTTCAACATTTTTTGCTTTTGGGAAATTTGCTGATTTTTTTTGTCGTTTTTTTCCGGAAGCTAACTCCACTCACATAATTTTAAAGAACCTGTGCCTAAAACGGCCTAAGAATGTCTCTCGTAATAAATTACCGTCGTTATTGCAATACTTTCTCAAGGTTTAAATCACAAAGTCTGTGTGTTGATCTTTTTAATAGAATTTTTGGTCACAAGGGACACAAATTCAAATTTTAAAACTTGTGTTTTTTTATATATTAATTAATAACCGCTTAAATCTCTCATCTAATTAAGTTGCAATATATAATTATTACCACCTCACACAATTTAATTTTCTTTAATATTTCGAGGAATTATTTTCTTATATGTACATTTATTTATTCACTTAAAACTTGTGTCGTAGCAAAAATCTTCAACTTTTTAACAACGCGAACATTTAAATATTCTCCATTTAGATTTTCTTCCCGTTACAACAGTTATAATTGTGTCCACACCACACGCTTTTTTTGCATCTTCACTTCCAACTGTTCGAAGTCTCTTTTCTTCTGACGTAGAAATGCAATTTTCTGAATTTGAATTTTAATATTCATCTCTCAACGTCCGGTTATTTACAATGAGATATGTATTTGTAGGAAACTGTCGGAGCTGCAAAACCAGTCCATGAGAATCAATCTGGCTTCCAAATAATCTGCTTTTTGGCACATCCAGAACTTTGGCATTTTTTTCTATCACAATTCCGGTGAATAGATTAGAACGTCACTTTTTAAAAACTTGAATAAATATTGCACTAGAATTTTCAAATTTCTTCAATTATAGGGCGCACTCGTCTTCAAGACCTAAAATATTTCAAACAAAATTATATCACTTTCTTACAAATATTTTTAGAACTTACTAAAATTCCAAGGACTGTAAGATTTTGGTAAAAATCAGTATATTTCCTCCCGTTTTCGCTTTTGGGCCTCAAACAAGAACTTCCATTCGGCTGCCTTTCCGCATAATCTTTATCTGTCCAGGCTGAACTTCCGGTAGGCCGGCACATTTAAAGGAGAACATCACTGACTGCGAGCCAAAGTTTGCCTCAAACCTAAAATGAAGAAATATTGAAAATTTTCAAATTACACGATTTGCTTGAAACAAATGTAGTTGACCAAATAAGGATTATAATAACTAAAAGAAAAATGATATTAATTAATTAATTGTGAATTCCTTCTTTTCCTTTGATTAAATTTTATTATTTATATTTATTTTATTGTTTCAATATTTTAATTTTTATGTTTTGTAAGTTTTACACAAAAGTGTATAATGAAATTCTTATACATTATAATTATGTATAAATAATTTATAAGTAATTTAATTTTTTAAATTTTTTTTTATTGAGTGTTGTAAGCAATTTTAATTTATCGGTAGAGCAGAAAAAAAGTTAAGAACATTGAAATAAATAATGGATTTTTTTATCATTTACGAAATAATAAGAAATTTAACTTTAAATAACATTTTAATTGCACCGAAGGGATTTATAGATAAAATAAATCAACATCAGAAAATCTGTGAAATTTCGCTTCTTTTGATGCTTTTGATTTATTTTTTTACTTAAACTTTTGATTGTTAATTTGTCTCATGATTATATAAGAATTTAAATACTATTATAGTAAAACTAATCTCTTTTTTTTTAATTTATGTGAACTAGTTGAAGTTACTCAAGAGATTGATTTTATTTAGAATAATAACCTTAAATTGATATAGATTATTTCTTTCAAATATCTAAACGATTTAAACGTTTACACGGCTGAAAGCAAAAGGAAAAAAACTACTCACTCAGTGTTGATGTTGACTTCGGGCGGTTTGCCGACGGCGTTTTGCACGACGAGGAACAGCTTGGTGACAATCTCGATGACGTGGCCGGTGTGGAAGACGAAGTCGCCCTTTTTCTTGCCGAGGTCGCTCTGAAAAAGACAACCAGTCGCGTGTTCGGCGCCCTGCAGAGGACTCGAGCCCCCCGCTCTACTGCAGTCGCTGCACCCGGCCTCGTGGGCCAAATTCGGCAACTCGCAACTCTAGAGGCACAACGCACACAGCCTAGCATTAGCTTGCAATACTTTTTACAGACCATACTTGAACAAAATTTAAAAAAAATTATTTGTTATTCGGAAAGTACACTCGGACTGAATAAATTTAAAAAAAAAAATATAATAAATAATGAGAATTGCAATTAATTTATTCTGTAGCAATTTTTGTATCCAAATAAATCGGCAAATCGCTGTTGAACTTAATATTTCTGAGCGAGGGAGAGAGGAGAGAATTTGTATATTTCAAACATTAATATGCTGAAATCTTCAACTTTTAATTTTCTCAAACTTTTATTTTATGACTAAATTTTTTTAGTAATTTACTTTGAAAATATTTGAGTTCTCTTTAAAAAGCTTTAAAAGACACCAAAATCTATATTAATAATTAATAAAATTACAAAACAGTTTAAATTAATTATAAGTTGAGCAGAACGAGTAATGCTTATTAGTGGAGGATTTTTAATTTACTAAAAGAAGCTCTCAAATCTTTAATGTATATTATTCCATCCAAATTAAAATTATTAAATTAAAAAGACGAAAATTTTGAGCCATCACAAATAAAGCAGTTTTAGATTAAAATTGAAAACTCACGGCTTTGATGTGGAAAATTGCAACGTCGTCTAGATACGGGCTGAGCGAAAGTCTATAAATCTCGGTGGCGGGCACCCTGTACTTAATCTGCAGCGTCCGCTGGTCCAAAATCAGCATCGAACTTGTCGACAGGACAAACAAAATAGGCACAAACTGAAATTAAAATCATAGTTAATTTACAAGCGCAAATTTTTGCTTTAAAAGGGACCGACCTTGCCACTCGACCTGGTGATCTTGTTAATGATGTCCGCAAACACCACGTACTGGTCGTTGGTTTCCACGCAAATCTTTTTCCACTGCACGTTTTGACGCAGTCTCACGTAGTCGCCGAGAAACGGGTGTGACACACTTAAAAGGTTTAAATTTTTATTTAATTTCATTTTTTTGTTCAAAAAAATTAATAATTAGGTGAATTTTTTTTAAATAGTTAGTTTAATGTTTTAACTAATATCAATTATTCTCAAGACCACAAAAAAAAATGAATACTTTTTTTACCTTCTGGGATAGGAGGCCTTCCGGTCTTTGAAAATTATGCTCGCCGTGACTTTCTCTCTCATTCTGTTGCGGGCAGTCTGATCAAATTTCAGTCGGTATTTGTGGCACTAAAGTAAGAAATATGAAAACAATTATTACATATTAATGACGCTCTTGACAAAGTCATTTTTCATTATTATTTTATTAATAATATTATTACTTTTTTTATTTAGTTTCTTTGCAACTAAATTAATGAATCATACAATTTAATAAAATTCGTGATTTCTCATTTACCGTTGTATTTTTTAAAAACTTGGGAAATTAATATTTTTACCCTCCATTTGTGGTGCATTCTGCGCAGCATGAGATTGGCGTCCGCAAGTCGTTTTGCAGCCATCGGCCATTCACGGCAAACGGGCGAATCGGAAGGTAAACTGACGCAAAGTCTCTGCAAATACTGTCTCCTCTGCAATTGTTATTAAAATTCATTTATGATCCGTGCGATTGAAATAATATTAAAACTCACTCTCCACTGGAGGTAGTGCGTTTGGATCACTTGAACGGCCCACTCGATCTGTTTCCGCCGCTTCAGCTCGCGGTACTCCTCTCTCGCCTAACCAACAAATTGTTAAATTGCTTTTGGAATTTTCATTTTGACTTAGAAATTGATTAATTTCAATAGTACAGCATATTCCGACAGATACATTTTTACAAAGATGCTGTGCATGAATAATGATTGAGAATTTATTACTGCAGGGGTCTAATTCTGTAAGATAGAATCGTCCCATTTCCATTTCTATTTCATTTTCCATTTGCTTACCCATTCCATTTCGTCGCCTTTTTCGATAACGACTTCTATTTCGCTGCCATTCCATTTCCATTTCTATTTCGTTGTCAATTTTAATAATTGAGCCATATTTATATTTATATATATTTATTTATATTTAATTTAATTATTGCATATATTATGCGCTTACAGTAATTTTCAAATGATTTTTAATATACTCAAGTCAATAAAATGTACATATAAAAAATTATTTCAATAAGGTGTTGAGTCAAAAGTACCTCAGTGTGGGAGCAAATTGTGGTACCACAGTGTGGGCGCATATTGTGGTACCACAGTGTGGGCGCATATTGTGGTACCACAGTGTGGGAGCAAATTGTGGTACCACAGTGTGGGCGGAAATTGTGGTACCACAGGGTGGGCGGAAATTGTGGTACCACAGTGTGGGAGCAAATTGTGGTACCACAGTGTGGGCGCAAATTGTGGTACCACAGTGTGGGAGCAAATTGTGGTACCACAGTGTGGGCGGAAATTGTGGTACCACAGGGTGGGCGGAAATTGTGGAACCACAGTGTGGGAGCAAATTGTGGTACCACAGTGTGGGCGCAAATTGTGGTACCACAGTGTGGGCGGAAATTGTGGTACCACAGTGTGGGCGCATATTGTGGTACCACAGTGTGGGCGGGAATTGTGGTACCACAGTGTGGGAGCAAATTGTGGTACCACAGTGTGGGAGCAAATTGTGGTACCACAGTGTGGGCGGGAATTGTGGTACCACAGTGTGGAAGCATATTGTGGTACCACAGTGTGGGAGCATATTGTGGTACCACAGGGTGGGCGCATATTGTGGTACCACAGTGTGGGCGCATATTGTGGTACCACAGTGTGGGAGCAAATTGTGGTACCACAGTGTGGACGCAAATTATGGTACCACAGTGTGGGAGCAAATTGTGGTACCACAGTGTGGGAGCAAATTGTGGTACCACAGTGTGGGCGGAAATTGTGGTACCACAGGGTGGGAGCATATTGTGGTACCACAGTGTGGGAGCATATTGTGGTACCACAGTGTGGGAGCATATTGTGGTACCACAGGGTGGGCGCATATTGTGGTACCACAGTGTGGGCGGGAATTGTGGTACCACAGTGTGGGAGCAAATTGTGGTACCACAGTGTGGGAGCAAATTGTGGTACCACAGTGTGGGCGCAAATTGTGGTACCACAGTGTGGGAGCAAATTGTGGTACCACAGTGTGGGAGCAAATTGTGGTACCACAGTGTGGGAGCAAATTGTGGTACCACAGTGTGGGCGCAAATTGTGGTACCACAGTGTGGGCGCAAATTGTGGTACCACAGTGTGGGAGCAAATTGTGGTACCACAGTGTGGGAGCAAATTGTGGTACCACAGTGTGGGAGCAAATTGTGGTACCACAGTGTGGGCGCAAATTGTGGTAACACAGTGTGGGAGCAAATTGTGGTACCACAGTGTGGGAGCAAATTGTGGTACCACATTGTGGGAGCAAATTGTGTTACCACAGTGTGGAACCATGAGCCATAAAAAGATTCGATTAAAAAGGGGTGCGAGAGACATATAAGAATTATAAATATACATTTTCATTGAATATTAAATAATTCATATAATTTTATCAACCTGAATATTAAAAACCATTCGAAGAGCACTGTAAGCATAGGGAATAATTAAATTAAATATGAATAAATAAATGGCTCAACTATTAAAATTGACGACGAAATAGAAATGGAAATGGATAGGCTGCGAAATAGAAGTCGTAATCGAAAAAGGCGACGAAATAGAATGGGTAAGCAAATGGAAAATGAAATAGAAATGGAACGATTCTATCTTACAGAATTAGACCCCAGGTGATTAAAACAAAGAATTATTGATTATCAAATACTTTTATGTGCAATTAATTAAATATTAAAAAGAATAAAAAAATTTAAATATTGAAATAAGAATAATTGAAGAAAATGATTAATTTATAAAAAGAGTATACGTTGGCAATTTTTAAATATTTCAATTTTCAACTTGATTTATTCTTAAGGGTGATTGAAAATCAGTTTTGGAACATTATTATAGAAATTTTTTTTTAATTACTCTAAATGGTAAATTGGACGAAGAACGACTTTTATCTCAATACCATTTTGCATCTCCGTTAAATTCAATTTTAAAATGTTTACATTAATTAATAAACTTTATTAAGATGAAATGAAGTATGAAAATGAACATACCACTCGATAGAGACAGAAAAGGTTCTTTTTGCCTTTGAAGAGGCGCGTTTTGCCGATCTGCCACTCCTACAGCATGCACACATAAAAAAGAAGAAAAGAATGTAAACGGCCATGCGGTTTGCAGCATGCACGCGATTACATAAACCGTAACCCTCACCCTCCACGACCTCCACGCGGACGCGATCACGATTTGGCTTTGCCGCATGAGCAGGTAGCGTTGCCGGCAGCGGTAGCCGCGCCACATCTTTTGCACCGACGCGGCCAGGTCTTCTAGCCGCTGCCGTCGAAATTCCTCCAGTTCCGACACCTGCAATCAAACAAACAGGACAAATGAGACTTAAAAATATTTTTTAATTCTTAAAATTAATGATAAACCTCTTGATTTTCAAATAAAGCTCTTAAAAAGTTATGATTACCAAATTTATTCTTTATTCCTTATTTGAATTTTTAAAATATTTTCAAAGGAGTTAAAAAAAAAATAATATAGATATATTTTATTATTTTATTTGGTAAACTTTAATTTATGTACAAATGTTTAGTTGGAGGAAAGCTAAAAAAGAGAATATTATATAATGCCAAAAGCTATTTTTCTATGTCGATTTGCGACAGCTCAACTCTCCCTTATTAAAATTATTCCTGCTCTTGTAATTTGTACTCCGGTTTAATTATCCATCTAAAAAACGCGAAAAAAGAGGAATTTTGAAAGTTTCTCTTTTTCACTTGTTTTCTTTCCGAGGCCAGCGTTTATCATCGTGCCTCGCATTTCCTTTTGAGAAATTTAATTGCACCTTTTTTGACCTCGATTCCTTTTATCAAGTTTTTAAGTAAGCGAGAAGCAAAAAGACCTCACGCGTTAATTATGATTGTTTTCCATTTCCAAGTGGCCAATGAAGGGGTCGAAACGTGGCTTTCAACGCGCCTCGCCAGCCAATTGGTCGAGTACTGTGATAGCGCAAGGTTTATAAACTCTTAAGTGCAGCGTTTTCTTTACATATTTTCCGAAGCAAGACAGAGGAACATCATGAACAAACTGATTCTTCTTGGTGTGAGTTAACCTTTGAGTATTTTACATTTAAGTTTATTGTTAAAAGATAGGAATTTGTATACAATTCATAACATTTAATTTACCAAATATTTCATTGGTAAATGAAATCATGTGTACATATTTTGAAAAATATGAAAATGTAAGAATTATACTAAATTCTTGAGCAAAATTAAAAAACGATAATTATAACTGATTTTATATTCTCCCATATGTAAAAAATTGATAATCTGAAAAAAAAGATTGCCCATGGTCGATATGCAGCTAAATTTTTGCATTGTAGAAAAAAAATTATTGCCAGATCAAAAAATTCATCCGCGTGATTATTTTCTATTTGCTGCATGTTAATTATTTTAAAATATAAATGTTTTTATTTCAGTTTGTGCTGGTCACCCTCTTGGCTGTCAGCACCGAAGGTAAAGGTGTATCTGAGCAGCGGAAAAATGAGCTTGATGACAAGCTCACGGGTTTCGCTTCCGAACTTCGCGAAAAAAATAAAAATCCACCAAAAAACCCTTCCAAAGTGACCGCGCCCCCCAATAAACCAGGAAATAAACCAGACAAGAAACCGAACAAGAAACCAAACAGTCAATCAGAAAAACTCCCAAACAATAATAAAGGAACAGATAAACCTGATCATTTAAAAGAAAAGGGTCCGTCCAAAAAATCGACTCCACAAGCAAGTGATGAAGTGGATGCAACAGAAAATCCAGAAGTGTGAGTTGCAACGAAAAAAATCAGCCAAAACCTAAACGAAACCAACAACATCATATTTTATGAATGGCTGCAATGTTTTTTGTGTTTTTGTGAAAACAATATAAGCTTGGCGTGAAAATTTTTGGTGTGAATTTAATAAAAATAAAAAATAAACCTTTAAAGATTAATAATAATTATTATTATTATTTCATAGCCACATCTCACGATTTATCATTAATTACAACGTTTATTGAGATTTGCAAAGTATGAAATTGTTTTTGCTGATTTTTATATGGATCTATAGAAAAGAAATTTTGTAAAAAAAACATTCAACTAGGGGAAAAGTGATTTTTATCCTATAGTAAAAATTAAAAGCGAGATGAAAGCAAGGTGTTTGTGACTTGTGACAGTCAACAGAGAAAGTACCTATGGCAACAAATATAGTCTTACTTTTGGGTTTGACAATTTTGGTGGATGAAATAAGTCAACATATTAAGCGTTAGGACTCCAAATCCTTTAATCATCAAAAGCGAGTAGTGAACGAAAAATGTAAATTGAGGTCTCCTGGCTTGTTCGTTATTGACAAAAATTTTCAACCGCTATTTTTTTCATCTTTTGATGACGACTTGTGAAAGATTTTTTTGAAAAGAGAATTTGCAGTCTCGTTAAACTACGTATTAAAACTAATAGGCCTAATTTGAAAGCAATGGTGTTTCCAGATTAGAGACCTACTTGCCGAGCTGAAGCCGAATAAATAGTCACATGTATAATCTTTGCGTGTAATTTTGAACTGAGGAGCCCAACAAATTTGTATACAGACGGCAGGGAATTCCACTGATTCTCGATTCGGAAAAAAAAATGTGTAGCCCGAGCTTTGTTCGCTTTTTTGGGAGGGTTAAACGATGCTATAGCCGCCACTATTTCTCATCACTCGGTCGATGAAGATTCTCGTCTTTGCATTCATATCAGTCCAGCCACTAATGCATTTCTTGAAAATTAAATAAAAAAGATAAAAGCTATATATTGCAACGACACGCAGCAGGTAATACATTCAACCACTTTTAACGCATTAATTTAAGTTTTTGTTTGATTTATATAAAAAATCAATTCCAAAATAATTTTAATTGGGCTAGGGGGTTCCCTACTGTTTTTTTTTTACTTTTTAAAATCTTAATTACAGCAATTAAAATCATATCACACTTTTTCTTACTTGACACACAAAATTACTTTGGCGCCTGCTTGCTAATTACCTTTTTTCCCTTCTCTCATTCTGATAAAAATGCGGTGACCAATGCACGACCGAAACGCGGCCCTTCGTGCTATCCACCTGTCACAATATTTCACTTTTTTGTGATATCACGCGGCATAAAAACATAGGGTCAACGTTTTCCTGCACTTTCGAGACACTTTCATCAAGGGCGGCGCAACATGAAGACCAACTTTTTAGGAGTGAGTTAATTAATTTCCCATCAATTTATAATGTAAAATTGAGAAATTTTCTCACATTTCTTAATTGAAAAATGAGAACCGTAAACTTATCGTAGTTTTGAGGATTTTTTGCATTTCCTTTGATGGGTTTTAGTGAGTTTCTTAATGTGGTGTATAGGAAAAAACTATGTCTCAACTATTTCTGAGCTATTTTTACAACATTAGTATAAATATTAATTTGAAATAACACAACATTATCAATGATTTGAGAGGAAAATAATATTTTACACTTTTTTACACTAAACAAATATTAAAATTTTGAAATATTCAACTTTGACAGACAATTTTATTTTATTGTGAATAAAATAAATAAATAAAAAATGTTTCCAACTAACTAAATTCTTCTACAAAATTTTCACACAGTTGGTCCTTTTTGTTTGTTTGGCCGTGAGCTCGGCCAAGCCCATGAATCGAATGGTTCGTCGGTCAAGTGAGGACGCTGGAAGAATTTTCTATCCTGATCCATTTTTACCACCCTATCCTCCACCCTATCCTCCACCCTATCCATATCCTCCGCCAGACTTCTTTGGCCCACCCGCCGTCCCCGTTCCAGTTCCAGTGCCGGTGCCAGTTCCAGTTCCTGCGTATCCATATCCACCTTTTTACGACGAGGTTAACGCCAACGGCAGGGCAATAAGATCCAAACGAGATCAACCCTTTCGCCGAATTTTCAAATCAGCTCAAAAGATGAGGCTGACAAAGCAGTGAAAATGGTCAAAATCAATGGAATTATACATAAAAAAAAGCAGCACTTATTTGATTGAATTATAAAAATTCACCTAAAAACTGTTGAAATTAGTTTAATTTTGCTATTCCCTTTGGTAAAATAATTTTATTTAGCAATTAATAATAGAATATATCAATTTTTTTAAGGAATCACTTTTTTAATACAGTTTGAACTTTGATTGAAAAATTTCTAATCCATTTAACGTAAAAATTAAAAGAAGTTAGATAACCGTAAACTTATTGTAGTTTCGAGGATTTAACGACTTACGTTAAGGACATTTTATTCACATAGACAAATAAAATTTTTTAAATAGTGCTTAAAAATTTTTCAATCATTATCTAGCAATTGCCAAAAATGCCTTCCAATGCCTTGTATTGTTTTAAATAATTTATTTGACTAGCCTATAAGGAGTCCTTATATTAAAAACGATCTTTAAAAAAGAGATTATTAATTTGAAACATCAGAGATCCTACCGTTCTTTCGCTGCGTATGAAGATTTTGGTCCGGCCAAAAGCAAAGTGCGGCGACGAAAGTGGCAGGTCTCTGAGAAGGTAGGAGGCGCCCTCGACGGCAGACCCTCGCCAGCAGGGCCAAGTGTGCGGCGACAGCATTTTATAGCGGTGCAGGAAGCTTTCGTAGCTCTCGCTGTGCGCAAAACTGGTCTTCCTCACCTTGATTGTCTGCACCAGACTGCAATTCAAAGTTTATTATTACATAGCTTTATATTTTCCTAACTTTTAAAAAAAAATTACATTGAAGAAAAATTGTTGGGAGGAAAACGTTGAATTGTTTGATAAAAAAGCACCACCATTATAAAAAAAATTTGCTATAACTTCAAAAATCAAAAAGATCGGACTCACCATAAATATCTAACTTGGTGCTGGACGAGGGCGTTCTCGAAAATGCGCGGCTGCTTGAGCTCGTTGGGTTTGATGCAGCGGATGAAGTGCGGCGTTTTGCTCTGCAGGTTGCCCATCAGCGCGCCCACCGAGATCTTGAACTGCGTGCCCGCCGACGCTGCCCGTTTCAGCGTTGTCCTCTTTGGGTTTCCTTTGGATCAAAATAATTTTTGAATATCAAAGTGGCAGGAAAAAAACTGGAATTACCCTCGGGAAAGAGGTTTTTGAGCAATGGATGTTCGCAACGAAACATGGCGAGAGACAGGTCAAGAGGAAGCGTGTCGTTGTTCTTTTCTACAAAGCCAGCCACGTTGTAGGTCACAGTCCCAGCATAATGACGCAATCTGCATAAATTTAATCAAATTTTAATTCAATACTGATAGAAAGAAATTGTAAATAAATTTGTGGCTCACATTGATTTTAAAATTAATTATTATTTGATGAGCTATTTAAAGTATAAAAACATATTTAAAGTGGTAATTGTTCTCTGAATCTGAAGTTCAATGCTTGATTAATCAATATAATTTTGATTCCTTAAAAAAAAACACATGATACACAATTAATTTTTTTTCCAAAATTAAATATAAAATAATTAAGTGACAAGAAATACTAAAAATTTTATTTATAAGAAGTAAATTATTAAAATTGTTATGAATTAATATTTTTCATTTTATTAAGCTCATATTCAATATTTGTTTTTAAACAGCAATTAATTATTAAATTATTTTATGCAAGTTTACCTAAAACAATTTGGAGGAACACTGGTGTTGCAAGGCAAATCTGTTGGCGCCGAGTGTGGCGCGCAATTCCGCGTCTCAAAGTAAGCACTTGACCCGCAGGTGTGACACAACCTGGCCAGGAAGGATTCGTCCCCGCCAGGTCCTCCTCGCTGACTCTCCTCGTCCAGCACAGCCAGAATCCCGTGGTTGTTCTGCCACAGTTAAATTTTATTCTTACACTTAGTTTTCATATGTCAAAGAAATTACTTTCTCAATCAGCTCGCAGACAGGTGTGTTGTTGAAGAAGTCGACCGGCGTCCACTCGATGCCTTCCCTGAGCATTTCGTCCTGGCGCAACCGCAGCGTGCATTCGGCCACAGCCTGCTGCAGTTTTTCGTTGCAAAAGTTGATGATGAACTGCTCAAAGTTGTTCTGGTCAAAAACTTCAAAGCCGTAAATGTCCATGATGCCCAGCACCTTTCTCTTTCCGTATTTTCGCACCTAAAAAAACAAAATTCACTCAAATTTATGGAGAACTAAAAATAAATTATAATTTTATTAATCTCTAAGAGATCATTGTGTTTATTTGTTACAAAACAATTAATCTGATTGAAAATTAATAAGTTTTATATATTTTTTTTTTAAATTTTGTTACTTGAAAAGCATTAAAAATTTTTGGCAAGATATTTACTTACCCGCGTGGCATCATTGACTTGCTTGACGAGCCACGCGAACAGCCTTGAATAAAGGGCCCTACACAAAATGTCCCTGGACGCGGTGGCCTCAGAGGCGCTCAGGTCGGCAACGACTAACTCGCCCGCCGTTGAAGAACTGCCCCGCTCATCAGCAAGCGTCAGTCGGGCCAGCGTCGAGTGTTGTAACATTTCACAAACTTCATACACATCTGAAAGCCCAAAATTTAGTAATAAAATTTTCAAAAGAAAAAAAAATATTCTAACAAGGCAACGCCGCAAAATCTTCATTAATGTATTTTAATTAAAAGTGGAAAAAGTAATAGGGGAGGTGAATTTGAAAATAAAAACAGTAAATTTTGAAAGAAAACAACAGTTAGAAACTCACAAAATAGAAATAGAAATTCACATTAAAATTATTGATTATTAAGAATTTAGCCCCTGACTTTAATTTGAGATATGAGCTTTATGAAGAAAAAAAAAATCCTTTTTCTGGTTGTCTCCCCCAACCGATTTTTGCGCACCACTATGAACAATTTTTTTTGTATCGATAATCCCATCAAAAATTTTTAATCTTCTTAATAAATACCAGATTTGAACTGAAAAACATCTTGCAAGGTTGAACCAAAAACCAAAATGATGGAGTTAAAATGAATACAGCAGAAACTTTTCACTGACCTCTGCTACCTGTGGAGGACATGGAAGACGAAGGCACAAACGAGGGCGGTGTGCCAGCCACCGACGACGAGCAGCCCCCCGACTTGACCCCTCTGAGGGAGCCGCACGGGGGCGGCGGAGGCGGCGCGGGGTTGGTCGAGGGCGAGTCGAGAACCGGCCCAGCGAGGATTGTGCGTTGAGTAAGTGCTGAGGTGAGCTCCATGGGGTTCGTGCCGAGCAGCCCGCAAACTTCAAATAGTTCTGAAAATTACAAGGAAATTCATCTTAAAAAAACATAAAAGAAATACTTGTATTCTAAATCGTGATCATTTAAACATTCTCAATAAAATTATTAATAATAATTTTTTTTACCATAGTCGTTTGTCACGGTGCACCCTTCGGTGCCGTCTATGTTGCTCGTCGGCGTGAACCCGATGTTTCCCAACTTCAGCACCGACGCCACCACCTTGAAAATTTGCACCACGTCTTCGGCAGAGAACCCTAGTGTTTCTAAGGCTTTCTGTTTTTTTGATGAAAAGAAATTATTTTGATTGAATAAAAAAAATTACGAAGCTCTTACTTTTGTTACTTGAAAATCCCTTTTGTCGTCTATTGTTTCCATACTAAGAGGTCTACTAGGTCTAAGAAATGCATAATTGTCAATATTGCGATGGAGTTTGAGAGATTCTGAAAAAAAAAACATTATTTCAACAATTTGAATCATCTTAAATAAATTATTCACTTACTGAGCAGTTGAATATCTGCACCAGTGAGAAGTTGATAGAAAATGTGAAAATTTCTTTCGCCCGCTAGTTGCCTTGTGACGCGAGACTAAATAAAATACATAATTAATTAGGACTTTTTTTAATTTACAATATTTATCTCACCTTTTCCAAAAGATCTGCACAAGTGGGACAGAGAAAGGTTAAAAATTCTAAAATGCAATTAACTGGCAAGCTACTTACAACTCGTGAATGTGCCTCCCACGGGGTCTCCCTTAAAGTCAAACTCGACGTCCAAATATTTGCCCTGAAATCACAAAGAGAGAGAGAGACGCGCGCTCTAGTTCGCCGTCTCGAGACAAAGCAAATTGTACTTACGAATCTGGACGAGTTGTCGTTTTTGTGAGTCTTTGCATTTCCGAAAGCTGCAAAACAAGCGACATTATCACTAATTACCTTCGAAACAACAAACAACGTATCACGCTGTGTCAACAACGCGAAATTTATGTTCTCTATTTATACAACGCGGCCACTGAATAAATTTGCCGCAACGCCCAGAATAATTAACGCAGAATTTATCGCAAACCTTCTAAAAGAGGTCCCGCCTGCAGCAGTCGGTCTCGGACTTGTTTGATGGGGGCGAGCGAAGGGTCCTGTTGGGCTCCCGTGGGCCCCGAGCCGGCCACGGTCACGTACTGCAGCACAATGCGCGCCGCCTCCGTTTTGCCTGAACCACTTTCTCCGGACACGACCACGCACTGTTCCTCGTTGCGCTCCCGCAGGTTCCAGTGCGCTTTGTCCGCAAGTGCAAATCTATAAGCATTTAAAATTCACTTTAATTACAATGCTTTAACAATTAAAAAATTAATTTTTTTAAATTTATTAATAGTAATTTTATTGGTAATTATAGATTGTATTTTTATTTTGAAGTTTTTATAAAATATTTAACAAAAGTTTAATATTACTATGTGCGGCATGTGTATTAAAATATGTAAAATCATCAGAATAAATAAGATTTCAATAACTAATCAACCTTTCCAAATTTCCAAATTTGAAATAGAAAGTCACTACAGTTACAATTAATTGATAGGAAATTATTAATTTTGACACTTAAGAAAAAAATTATCAAATCGACTTACATGTGCGGTGGTAGGTGCGAGAGCAGAGCCTTGGTCCTGTAGGCTTCGACCACATCGAGCGAGTAGAGGGCCAGCTTCTTGTAGGGGTTGACCGATACCAAAACATCTCCAGCGCTCGTCTACGGAGCAAAAGACGTCTCTCATTAGATGGGTCAATATTTGAGCGCCGTTTCAGGAAACCGGAGCTCGGCACCAAAACACGCACATTTGCTCCCACTTTCTGCGGCATTCGATTAACTTTTCGTCTAATTTTTCTCCACAACCCCATTGAATTTATCTTAACACTTTTAATTTGTGGTTAAAAATAATATTTTTTTAATGCAAAAAAAATTTTACTTTTAATAATTTCGTTTATTAGTTCAAAAAAATATTTCCTTCTAATATACTTTCAAATTTAAGTACGCGGTTATTCAAACAATCGTAGTCGGAAAAAAGACCACGGATGTGGGGCAAAGTTTTCGTTGTCGCAATAACTTGAGTTCTCAACGGCCGTCCTCGCCTCCTGAAGAGTATGCGACCCGCCCGACCCACGTGCTCAACTTTTGCCTAACTTGTTTTGCTCAAGGGGCCAAAATCTCCTCGAGTGGATAGCACTACACTACACACGCTTCCTGCCGGCGCCTGACCACTCCATGACCCTATTACGCGCACTGCGCCCGACAAAAAAAGGAATCTCGTCAAAGGTGTGTCTGAACAAAGATTGTTTGGTAACGAAATTCCAACCGGTGTGAAATAAAACTAGTAAGGAAGTATTTTATGGACATAGGCTTTTTTTGAAGGGAATTTTAATTTGAATAGAAAATTAGTTTAGTATTTTGTAATCTCTTTTTAATCTAAATTACGTTCCTTTACTTTGAAGGGCTTTTATTGATGAACAAAAGTGATAATTTTCTACAGTTAGGCTCGGTTAGAAAACAAAGACGTGTTAATTTTTCGCCTTCCAGGCTTTGAATACACATTGTACTTGAGCGCCGCTCGACAGACAAAGAGACCTTTCTGTGTTTACGGCCGATTATTAAAGGGGAACGCTCGCTTTGTGTGCAAAATAACGCACGCACGACAGACACTGGCATTTTTATTGTGCCATTTGCGGATGATTTATTGCAATCGATACTTCAATCCAGGCTTACTGTGCGCGTTCTGTTCTGTGGCCAAAAAAGAGAGGCATTATTTTCCGAGTAACAGATTGTTGGAGGGCGGCTTTGTCCCAAGGAAAAAAACGACGATTTTCCGCTCGGAAAATGTAAAAAAAAAACGTGTCACAATTTTTTTGATAAATGTTTTTACTCACGTAAATCAGGTCCCTCTTGAATCTCTGCTGCAGGTTGGCGACGAAGGCCTCCTCGGTGAGGGGCTCGAGTTGGAGGGTGTCCGCGACCCCTACCTCCTGCTCGTGGATCGCTAGGGGTGGGGCTCGCCGTGCGGAATGACCACGTGACCCGTGCTGGCCGCAACATTGCGAGGAGCTCTGCCAACAATCAGTTTATTGTTTGTTTTCCGAGCTCGGGAAGTGCAAATTATTTGGCGAGTAAATTAATTGAATTGATGCGGAAATGAACTCACCGTAGCAGCAGCCGATGGGACGCCACCAGAGGACATTCCCTCCTCAAGGGGTCGGCCACGAGACCGGTGTCTGCAGCCCCTTCCTGAGTCACGCCAGGGCTGCTGCTCCTACAAAATGAAAACAATTTTCTCATTAATTAAAAAAAAAATGAATCGTTAAAAACTAACAAAGAATCTAAAATTGCAAAATATTTATACAAATTTTAATTTGCTTTGCTGTCTCTGCAAAATTTACAAGTCTGCTTTATTTATTTATTTTTTAAACTTTCTTCTTAGCGCCCTTTTGATTCATATTTTAAACGATATGGTTTTCCAGAAATTTTAATACGTAAATTCAAAACGCATGAAAATTTGCAAATAATTTATTTTGTAAACAAGTTGCATTCAATTTTTCATCAAAATAAAGAAATACTTTTATAGAGAAAAGAAAATTCAAAAGCAACGATTCCTTTCTCGCCATTTTCCCTCTTAAATTTTTGGAGCATAGTTGTTACTTTGCGTGATTTTTATAAGATTTTGCTAGAGTAGTGTGGGGTAGCGTCTTTATGTTTGTTCTTTTGTCTTAATTTTTAAGTTCTAAATAAGTTTTTTTTTCATTATTTCGAAACACAAATCAATATTTTTTTTTTTTTGTAATTTGATGCTTAATTATAAAAGTCGAAATATCCGTTATTTAAGGCAATATTTCCTCGCATACTTTCAGTCAAACCACGTAAAAACCATAAAAAAAAACACATTATTTTCAACTCGTAAACGTCTTTGTTCTTCACATAAAGAGGCCGACGTCTTAGCAATGACAGACAGCAAAACGTCGACGTCGCAGTGGATATTTTCTGAAGAAACACGGCGCGGCTTTTCTGATGATTTTTTTATTACGGTTGGATAACAAGAAAAGTTTTTCATCGGCTGTCAACCGCGCAGTGGCTTCTCTCCTTTGCAATGTTGCGCCGCCTCGTATAATATACCGAATTAACCCCTGATGTAAATCCGAAATGCTCGCCTAAACGACGTTTTATTGCCGGTCATAAAGTGCACCTTGGGAAAACGCTGATAAATAATTCAGCCCAGCCGCCTTCAGTAAGGTTACGACCCCTGTTTTCGAGAATAACCCCGACGAAAGTTGCAAGGACCTAGATGATGGCTCCTTTGCAGCTGTAAATTGGCTGTTTTGACGGGGGGGCTGCGTAAAATTTTTAATTAAAACTTTTTCACTGCAACACCTGCAGTGTCATAAATTTTGGCGTGTTAGAAACAAGAAATAAGACAGAATTAGATATTTGAGTAGGAGAGCTGCATGAAAATCCATTTGATTTTTCCATGAAAATAATCATTTATCTATTGGCAGGCTTCTGAGCAAATTTAATATTTTTAGCTACTATTTTCATTTTAATTAAGACATTTTGTCTAAACTAAAATCACTAAATTAATAGGTGACATAAATTTTGAATATATAAATTTTAAAAATGAATAATAATAATAAAAAATATTGAACAATTATGAAAATAAATTTTTATTTTATATGTGAAAATGATTTATTACAATAATTAAATTGCTTCTTTTTAAGTAAAAATTGTTTAAAATTAATGAATTTATAATTTAAAAATTACCATCTTTTCTTACTTAAAAATTTATTCCTTTACTACATAACAAAAATTATTTTTTTGTTCAACTTGTCAAACACAAGCAATCCCTATTTTTTAACTCAAAATTGGTCAATGTTTTCCTGGATGAGTAGATTTTTTTATTTTGCATGTCTTGGTTTGCTTCGTAGCCGCCTGAACAGAGAAAAGATCCGAATTTTGATTTCAAATTTTAAAATTTTAAAGTAAATTTACTTGAAAACAAAAAAAAAATCGTGTTGGTACAAAAGGATTTTTAAAATTAATTTATAAAAAAAATCAATCTTTTGCGCGCTGCATAAAAAATGGGATTTTAAAATTTAGCCCTGTAAGTTAATTATTTATGACTGACTTGCTTGTTTTGTGGGAAAGGAAATGTGCGAGCACGACCACTTGTACCATAAAACGCACCCTCTGCTCAAGCTCTATTTATTTGGCCGCGCAAGACTTTCTGCAGCCAGATTTATGGGCTCTTGAGTGTGCGTATTGATTTCCGACTGCTGTAAATATACTCATCCATCCGTTCCTCTCTGGACGGGCAGGTCGGTCGGACGGAACCCCTGCCGGACGCCGCAAGAGACTTTTTTCTCTCCGCACCCGAGCGGCTTATCGCAGGGGCGCTGAATTTTTTACGAGAGAGGTCGCGCGCGAAATCCCAGATGTTTACGCTTGCGGCCCAGCCCGGTGTGTAATTTCTTCTTTTCGGGGCTGTTTTTTAGCGCGGCCGTCATGAACACATGTTACGCCTCTCTCGGCGCGCGCGACCGCCCGCTATCTTCACGCACGATTTGCTCTGCACAATCGCACGCAAATTCGCACGGCCCCTGCGACGCCTAATGAGGCATGCAAAGTCAAACTCCGCCGCTGACAAACACCCACACCACGGTGCCAGAATTGAAAAAGTTTTGGATTTATTTCTTCACCAAAATATAAATCATTTTAATTTTTTCCCCAGTTCTGGACACTATTGCAATCTCAAACAATTAATGTATATTGCATCTCTTCAATTTAAAAAATTGATTCATTTCTTTTTTTAATTGTTTATCCTTCTTGGGAAAGGCAACATCGGTATCAGACAGGCCTGCTAAATCACAAGGGCCGATAACTCGGATCCTCAACTGATTTTGAAACTAGAGCTAGAATTAATTTTGTCAATGATTATCGTTCTAATTAATACATGCTGCTTAATATTATTTCTTCAAACTCCTTTACTTCTGGAGAAATAAAAATAAAATTCGAATTTTTTCATTTCTCACACATTTGATACACTATTTGCTGAGAGAAGACAACAGCGTGATTTGTTCAAAGTGTCTGCCAAGATGAATGTTTTCAATTACGTGCTCGCGTGACGCTAAAAACTTTAAGCAGGTGTCCCTTTTTGGGCGACAAAAGAGAGTCCCCTAAGGACTCGTAACAATTTCTAATGAATTTCATCACTGCCCTAACAAACAAGTGTAGAACTTTACGGCGCTGCGCGAAACTTTACAGCGACCTCTGAAATAATGTGCCCAGATAAAAAACCGGAATAACTTTTGTTGGTGGAGCAAAAAAGAATGGCGTGAAATGGCCACGGGGCGTTAATCGCAGCTCAGGCGCAGATGGCCGGAATTTGAAAAATCTCCACTGCGTATGTTTTTTCCCGCTATTTCTGATTGGAAAAAATTGCTACTAATGCTCTCACTCCAGCGTTGTCTGACAATGAAATGTAGGAAAAAAAACTTGTTAAGGTTGTTACTCTTTAAAAATTGGAACTGTAGCTTGTTAACAAAAAATTTGATATATTATGTAATTAATTAGAATTGCAAAAATTAAAATGAATAATCTATGGTGGTTGCACTAGTGGTCGCACAGAGCCAGAGGTCGCACATTTTGGCAAATAAAGCATGTTTTTCATTGTTTTAAAATTATCCGATTTTATTTATGGTTCCGATGGATATTAAAAATTCAATTAAATGATATTGAGTGTGTCAAATTCATTGATTAAAGCCTTCTTTGTGAGCCATCATATTGAAACGATAATACAATTTCCACTTATTTCTAGAGCAGTTATTCAAATTAAATATAAATTATTATTTCCCAATCATATTCATTATTTTTTTTTTTATCTAAATTTTCTTCTAATTGAAGGATAAACGATATTTTATAATGTTTACATTGTACATGCAAGTTTTAATAAAATGGCTATTGTTTGCAGAGCAACTGGTGAAACCAAAGCCAAGTAAAAAGAAGTAGTCGAGTTTGAGAGAATAGTTGTGCCTCCATAATGCGGCAATCGCCCTACTTGTAAAGTTTGAGGGTCACAAGTGGCGCTGGTCGAGGCATTTGACCTCGAAATCTCTCACACTTTGCCCAGGCGGCGCCATTTATCCGTCGCATGTGTGCGAGCGAGAGAGCAGCTAGAACTCGAAAGTGAGTGCTCCGGCGGCCGGGAGCTCGATATAAATTGCCGCGTGCGCTCGCTCCATTACCAGAGTCATCACTCATCGCATCCTTGTAATAAATGGGCTCGGGCCAACTAGAAGGGTAGGCAACCGGCGTTGCTGCTCTTGCTCTCGGCCGCGTGCTCCGTCCGTGAGCGAGTGAACGAGCAAAGAGCTGGAGGTAATTGCATTAGCAACTAACTGTGCGACCGGCAAGAAATCTCGCTATACGTGAATGACCCGTGCTCTTGAACTTCCGAGCAAACTTCCTAATATCCAGCACCTCTCATAAATTGCACCCCTGTTTCCATTTGCTCCAGATGTTGTTAAAATAAATTCTCCTTTGACGCTTCGCTTTAAATTGAAAAGCGTGATTTGTTAGTTCTTGGAGAAGATCAATTTTGTTCTTCATGAATTTTGAATGGTTTGCTTTTGGAGGTGATCAATCTCACATAATGTAAAAATTAATAAAGTTTCCACGAACGTTTTGCATTTATATCGATTTTATTTGAAACTCGTTTGAGTACAAATGCAATCCAAAATTTAAAAAAAAAGTTTCAAATTTTTACATTTGTTAGTTTTACTTGTACAATTTATGCAATTTTAAATGCCAGCAAAAAATAACCAATAAAATAAAAATAATGTACTTACAGGGCTCAGGCTAACAAGACTTTTTCTTGGCCTTACCCGAAAAAAATAAGGAAACAAATTCCTTGAATTCATTCATTCAAAATAAAATATTGGAATTGTTGATTGATTGACGTATGGAAATTGAATTTCAGTGTTTTCATCTCTCTCTTTCTTAAAAACAGAGTGTTCCTTTATTATATAAGCTTTGACGCCTCAACATCGCTTTATTTTTTAAATATTCGGTGCTAAAGCTAATAACAATGGTTGTGAGGAATGTGCTTCTTTTCGTGCGACGCTGGCTTCTTTGTTATTCAAATGGTGCAGAGTGAGATGGAGCGCCAAAACGGCGCGGCTCTTGCTTCGGAAAATATACGCATCCTCCTTTGTGACGCCAGATGCGCGTGGGAAAGTGGAAAAATTGATATTTATACATTCGGCA